GCAGCAGCTGCTGCTGCTGCTCCCGCTGTCTCTGTGGCAGAGGATGGGGCGCAGCAGCAGCAGACGCAGCAAGAGAGCAGCAGCAGCAGCAATTCTATTCTGGTGCAGCAGAAGACACTCCTTCGCGAGACAGCGGCATATCAAAAGTATGCTTTGTCGCGTTCGTGCTTCTGTTGCTGCTGCCTCTTCGGTGCTGCAGCCTGGACCTTATCTTCCCTTTGCTGCTGCTGCTGTTGCTGCTGCTGCTGTTCAGGAGCTGCGGTGATCTAGAGCAGCAAATGGCTGCCGGGGCGGAAACCCGCCGCATGTTTAGCAGCGTTCTTATGCCGGCTCTGCGCTTCTACTGGAAAGCGCGCCTACCCAAACGGTACGTGCTGCTGCTGCTGCTGTTTCGTGCTGCTGCAGTTGTGGCAGCTACTGCTGCTGTGTGGGCTCATGGTTGCTGTTGCTGCTTCGAATTGCACTTTTGCTGCTGCTCCTCCTCCTCCTACGGGGGTGTTTGTTGCTGTTCTTTGTGCTTCTGCTGCTGCTACACCTGCTGCAGCAAATATTGCATCGATCCTTCTGTAGTTGATGCTGTTTTGGTCATGTCGCGGTTTAGGTCCTGTTTTTGCTTCGGACTTTGCTGCTGCTGCTGCTGCTGCTGCTGCTGCCCCTGCTTTTTCTGTTTCCTGCTGCAGTTGCTCTTTTTCAGTGTTTGCGTTGCTCTCTTTTTATCTTCAGCTTTTTCACTGACGGGACAGTTAAAGAACTCACAAACCTGAAGGCGCTCTACAGGGTCTTCGAGCGCTGTTAAGCTCATGCTGCTGCTGCTCCTGCTGCTCCTGCTGCTGCTGCTCCTGCTGCTGCTGCTTGTGCTGCTACTTCTCTTGTTGCTGCTATTGGTGTTTGTCCTAGCTTGTCGGGCCAGACGTCAACTCCGATCATTGTATGGAGCAGCAGCAGAAGCAACAGAAGGAGTAATGGCAGCGGCTACCGTTCTAAATGGCTAGACTGCCTATAGATGCAGCTACTTGCTGCGCTTATAGCAAAAGCAGCAGCAGCTGCTGCTGCTGCTGCTCCTGCGGTTAGTTTTAGACAGTTGTGTTAGTTTCGTCCTAGGGCCATCAAGCAACATTAACGTTAAATAGCGTCAGATACTGCTGCTGCTGCACTGCTGCAACAGACGTAGCAGCAGCAAGCGCAGTGTGTACACCTGCATTAAATACTTAGCTAGTGGCAAACAACTGCTTGTTCTTCGTTGATGCTGCTGCTGCAGCAGCAAAAAGAGGATATTTCTCTACATTTGAAAAGGCAGCGACAATGTCAAAATACAGCAGCAACAGCAGCTGCAGCAGCAGATTGCTGCAGTGCTGCTGTGCTGCAGTAGCACGTGCCCCAGCAGCAGGTTGCTGCTGCTGCACGGTTGTTATACTGCTGCAATAGCATTTCCCGCAGCAGCAGGTTGCTGCTGCGCTGCAGCAGGTGTTCTTCCCTGTTCCTTCTTTACCTGGAACCAAACAACAAGTCCCTCTTCTTTACATCTGAGAAACTGTCGCCTGCATGCTGCCGCTTCCGCTTCAGCAGCAGCAGCAACTTGTGGCTGATAACACGTCCCGTAGCCTGCAGCAGCAGCAGCAGCAGGACCAACAGCAGAAACGACGGGCATAAAAGGAGCTGCACACTGCAGTTATAGATGCGCGTTAAAAAAGGAAGCGACCCTGGTGTGTAGGTGTGTGGCAGGACTTATTAATTACAGAGGGTTTGTTTGTTAGGGTTTAGGGTTTGTTAGGGTTTAGGGTTTGCTAGGGTTTAGAGAGACGGACTTGTTTGCCGAGGAACCATATGTATTTATCTATAAGTGTTTTGAATGGCTTAAGCTTGTGTTGCACTTCAAAGGCCCGCAACTCCACCAAGACGTTATCCAGGCGAATTGCACCTGAAAAAAAAAAAACCCAAACCCTAAACCCTAAACCCTAAACCCTAAACCCTGGATCCTAAACCGTAAACCCTTTTGCACGAAGGCCTAGACACCATATGTTGCAAACGTCAATGCTATAATAGACCCTATAAGCCCCAAATCCAAAACCATGCGCTGCAAACCCTAAACCCTCGCTCCCAAGGCTTAGCACTCCTGTGTTTCTCGAGGGGATAGGCAAATATGCCGAAGCACAAACCTCTGTATGTAACAGCAGCAGCGAAGGGAGACACTCGGACGAAGCGGAAGTACACTCCAAGGCCAGGATCCTGCTGCTGCTGCACCTGCTGCTGTTGTTGCTGAGGCAGCAACGGTGGCTGCTGTGGCTGTTGTGGTCTAGCAGGCGGACGTCGTGCAGCTTCTGCTGCTGTTGCTGCTGCTGCTCTCTGTGCACCTGCCTGATGCCCCAAAAAGCTGCTGCTTCGCGACCCAGTCCCTGAAGCGACAGGAGTAGCGCATCAAAGCAGCAACAGCAGCAGCTCATGTGTGCATGGCCACCAGGTGTACGGACACCACACGAGTTCGTTCATGGAGGGGAAAGACCTACAAGCTAGATGGGGTTGCTCCCCGCGTGCTGCTGCTGCTCCTCCTCCTCCTTGGCCCCTACGGAGTGCTGCACCATCAACTGAGGCAGCAGCAACAACTGCCGTCTCCGCCTGTGAAGCGAGCTCTCCGGAGCTTTGGCTGCAGAGGCTGCCAGTAGCAGCAGCTGCAGCAGCAGCACCAGCAGGCCACTTGAAGGAAGGGGCAAGAAGGGCCACTGCATCCACTGCTTGCGGCGCTGCTGGAGGAAAGAAAAAGCTATAGATACACTCCACGAAGGCAGATGTCAGAGACACCCGCACAGGGTCAATGTGCAGCAGCAAGTAGTCAAACACCTGAGAACCAGCAGCAGCAGCAGCAGCAGCAGCAAAAAGCAAAATATTACAAGACAGAACATATCCGGCAAAGGGAAGGCAGCCGATCCGAAAACAGCAACAGCAACATAACCAATAGAAGCAGCAGCAACAGCAGCAACATCAGCAACTACCGCGGCAGCAGCAGCAACAGCAGCAGTACCGGGAAGCGGCCGCAGTCTAGGACAACGAATCTGTGGCTGCAACGAAGAGATACGGCATGCGCAGACAGTCTGTGCGTGAGTCCTTCTTTTTGCCTCCACGCATCTACCCCTAGCGTGTCTTCCGTTCCTGCTGCAGCTGCTGCGTCTTGCTGCTGCTGCTGCTGCTGCGTCTGCAACTCAAAGAGAGGCGAGATAATGCGCACTGCCTTCAACCCAGGCGGCAGCACAATGCCCAAGAAGTAAGAGACAGTGAAAGCAGGCTGCGACAGCTGCATCCGTCGTCGTTGTTCCTGCTGCTGCTGTTCTTCCGCTTCCTGTTGCTTCCGGTGCTGCTGCTGCTGCTCATGCTCATGCTCATGCTCACGCTGCCCCTCCTGTTCCTGCTGTTCCTGCTGCTCCTCCATGTCGCGAGTGCGCTGCTGCTGCTCTTGCTGCAGCCCATGCAGCAGCTCCTGCTTTGCTGCAGCAGCCTCTCTTCCGACATCTCCGATGGGAAAAGAGTCAAAGTCCGCAGCTCCTGTGGGACCCCACAAATCTGCTGCGGTTGCTGCTGCTCCTCCTCCTGCAGATTCTGCTGCAGCAGCGTCCTGTGGGGAAGCTGCTGCCCCTGCCTCTGCTACTCCTGCTGCTCCTGCTGCTGGGTCCTCGTGTGCTGCCACGGAAGATGTCCCTGCAGCAAATTGCTCACGCAGCTTCAGAAGCAAAGAAGGTTCCTCTTCAGCAATTGCATCAGGAGTGGGACCTGCTGCTGCTGCTGCTGCCTCGGCTGCTGCGGCTGCTGCAGCTGCTGCAGCTGCTGCCTCGGCTGCTTCTGCTGCCTCAGTTGCTGCTGCTGCCGCCGCTGCTGCATCCGTTGCTGTTTCATGCACTTTCGACTCGCTACTGCTGCTACTGCTGGATGACAAGAGCGTGTGCTCGTCATCTGAGTAGGGTGCTAGATTGCCAAGTCCTCCTGATACCTCCTCCTCGCTGCTGCTGCTGCTGCTGCTGCTGAGGAGTTTGCTGCCCGCGCGGTGCCGGAACAGGGACCACTTTGCTGCCTCAGGAGCTGCTGCTGTACCTGCTGCAACTTCTGTATCTGCTTCTGCTGCACGTGCCTCTGCTGCTTCTGCATCTTCTGTACGGCCCTCGGAGGACTCAACACCTGCTGCAGCATGCATCCGGCTGCCAGCAGCCCTATGTGCTGCAGCTGCTGCAGCTGCATGGGCGACCAGGCGATGCAGCTGTGCAGCTGGAGCAGCAGCAGCAGCAGCAGCACGCTGTTTCATCGCCGGCAGCAGCTGTTGAAGCTTCGCACGAACTCTTCCCGGAGCTTTTCCTGAGGGGTTGAAATGCCTTGCTGCTGCTAATACATGCAGGTCGCTTGCTGCTGCTGCATGCAGGCTGCTCCCTGCTGCCGATGCTCCTGCTTCTGTCCCTATGGCATCGTCAGAACAAAACGATGCACAAGAACGCAGCATCCCAGAACCTCCAGAAGCAGCAGCAGGTTCCGGTGCAGCAGCAGCAGCAGCAGCAGGCTCCACTGTACGTTCAGCAGCAGGCGCAGCGGGAGCGGATGCTGCTGCAGTTCCTTCAGTGGCAGCCGCTTTTCTATGTAGTTTGCTTGACCAAGGAGCGAGCCGCCGCTGCTGTTGCTGGGGTTTTTGCTGTTGCTGCATCTCGCTGCCCGTGCCAGCGGCAGCCGCAGTAGCAGCAGCACCAGTTGCTGCTTTGGGGCACAGGTCTAAGACTCGCCAGTCTGCGAGATCCACCTCTAGCTGCAGGTGCCTCTGGTCCTGCAGCAGCAGCTGCAGGCTGCAGGCTGCGTCGCTGCAGCAAATGCAGCAGAAGGGGAGGTTCGTGGTGCTGCTTAACAACGAACAGCAAATCTGAGAGCAGGAGCAGCAGCAGACGCAGCATAAGCAGTAGATACAACATCAGCAGGTGCAATAGCAGCAGCAGTACAACGGCCTGTTTGTCACAACGAGATCGCGAACCAGCGAATGTTCAGATTAGCAACGAGAGGTTAGTTTTAGGGCTTAGGGTTTAGGGTTTAGGGTTTGTCGAGTGTTTACTTCTTCAATAAGGATGCCTATTGAGATTTGGCGGCGTTGCTGTTTGTTTGGCGTATGGTGCTGCTGATGCCCCGAGTGTGCAGCACCTGCTGCACTTGCTGCCGGCTGCTGCAGTTGCTGCAGCCGAGGCATTGTAGTGCCAGCGCCTCCCACTGGCAGTTGCGAAGCCCCCAAGTCTGCTGCTTCTTCTTCTAAGAACGCATGCAGCAGCTTCCGCGCAGCAGAGGGACGCAGACGCCTTTGTTGCTGTTGCTGTTGCTGCTGCTGCTGCTGATGCTGCTGTTGCTGGTGTCCATGAGGATGACCACTTCCTGGAGCACTAGTGCTCTCTTGTGTCCCTGCCGGGGCAGCAGCAACAGTTGCTGTTGGACCCAGTGCTTTACCTCCTGTTGTTGCTGGGACTTCTGTATTGTCGTCCGGCTTGCTGCTTCCTTCAGACAGATCGTCTGCTGCCTGCTGCTGCTTGTCTGTAGCAGGCAGCTGCGTAGCAGCAGCAGCAGCTGCTGCTGCTGCTGCTGCAGCGGCTGAGGGCGGGGCTGGGTGGGCTGCTCCTTGAGGAGCAGCAGCGGCCGCAGCAGCAGCTGCTGCTGCGGGCCTTGTCCTGCTGATGTTGCAAGCCAGCAGCATACGGTGCAGCAGTTGCTGCAGCATAGCAAAACTCTCAGCATGAGCAGCAAAGAGACAATTGCCACATAGCAGCTTGCAGTTGCAGCCCAGCTGAGGAAGAGACAAAGCAAGCATGCAGCAGACTTCCTTAATGCACAACACAGGCCGCAGCAGCTGCGACACTGTAGCAGAGCTGGAGCTGCAGCTGTTACTGTTGTTGCTGCCATTTGCTTCTCCCCATACTCCTTTGTCATGCAGGTCCTGCTGCTGCGCCCCCGGCTGCTGCGCTGCTGAGTCGTTCGGCATCTGGTTGCTGTTACACTTGCTGCTGTTGCTGTTGCTGTTCGGCACTGGGCTCGCACGACCTGCTGCTGCTGCCGTAGGGGATGGGGGGGCTGTGGCTGCTGCTGCTGCAGCAAGAGGTGACGCAGGCTGCTCACTGTCGCTGCTGGTAAGACACACAGAGGCGAGGTGCTCAGGGAGGATGTAGCGTGAGGGGCTTTTGCTGCTGCTGCAGTGCTCCTCCCCTTTGCTGCTCTCCCGCGTTGCATTGGTAGCTGCCGTAGGCGCAGACGCAGACGCAGCAGCAGCCAGTGGCAAGTGCCACAGTAGCCCGGCCACGTGCAGCGCTCCGACAGACCCGCATACAGGACCCACACGACAAGCCATGTCTACCAACAGCAAATGTTGCTGCTGCTGTAGTTGCTGCTGCTGTCCTTGCTGCTGTTGCACTTGCTGCTGCTGCTGCTGCTGTCGCCGTCCCGCTGCAGGAGCAGGCGTTACGGCCTCCGCAGCAATCTCCAGTCGAGCCTTTGCGACAGCGAGGGGAGTAGAGAAGACAAACTGAGCTGTCTGTACACCCGAAAGTGCCGAGCGAAGGTCGCTGCTGCTTGTGCTGCTGTACGTATGCTGAATCAGCTCAATGGGGGCGCACAGGGCGGGGTCTTGATCCGGCAGAGGCAGCAGCAGCAACGACGGCAGCACAGCCGGATCTGCTGCTGCCGGAGCCGCCTCTGTTGTTGCAGCATCAACTGCTGCTGCCTTCGAAGCCTCACCTTCTATCTCTGCTGCCGTAGCACCCCGGCAGCAGCAGCCGCAGACACCGCGCAGCTGATATGACAGCTTCGGTGCGGAGTATCCCCGAGTTAAATCCGTATGCGCTGAGTGTGTTCCTTTGCTGTTGCAGGTGCTGCTTCTGCTGCTGCTGAGCTTCGGGCGGTTGTTGCGGGGTTTGTGTTCTACTCCTCCTGCTGCAGCTGTCCAAGCAGCCAGTCGTGCAGCAGCAGCAGCAGCGCACGGTTGCATCCCGCCGCACCCCTGAACCTTTTCCGAGTTTTCCGCTCCATCCGTATCAGCCTCTGCTGCTGCCGCCGCTGCTGGTGCTGCTGCTGCTGTTGATGCTATCCTGTTGTTGTCTGCCCACATGACCTCTACCAGGCGCGAATGCTCCTGCAGCAGCGGCAGCGGGTTAACTGTCATTGCTGCTGACACCTGGCAGCACCTTCCTTCAATGCAATTGTCCCCTGTTTCTCCATTAAGAGTGTCCCCTGTTGCTCCTGCTGAAGCACGGTTGCCCGTGTTTCTGTTGCGGTTGCTGTTGAGGTAAGCAGTGACCTCCTGGATCAGCTGCTGCTGCTGCCCGCGCTGCAGCTCAATGTAGTGTAAGCTTACTTGGGGGTATATACACCGCAGTGTAAGGTCTATCGTCCCGCAAGACATCTGCCGCTGCTGGGTCTGCTGTTGATGGCGTTTGCGGCGGCGAGCGGTCGGGTGCTGCTGGTGGTGGTGGTGGTGCGGTTGCTTATTTTTTGAGGGCAGCAGCATCTCCAAGTACGGTTCCAGCTGCTGCCTTGCTGCATCTGCTGCGTCTATACACCTGAAAACAAGAGCAAGGCTTGTGGGAGACAGCAGCAGGAAGGGACAATGCAACAGCATGCATGCCGCCTGGGATGGGTCACTTTGCTGCTGGTCCTGCTGCTGCGGCTGCAGTTGAGGGAGCTTCTGTCGCTCTATGCGGACACCTGGAATACGCAGCAGCGGCAGGAGAAGAGGAGATGGTGTGGGGAGGTAAGGAGGCAACGTGAGGCCCCGCAGGCGAGAAACAGCAGCAGCAAATTGCTGTTGTTGCTGCTGTTGTTGCTCCTCTGCCTGTCTCTGCTGCGGGCGCAGAAGCCTGCCAGCATAGGCTCGCTGTCTGCTTCTGCTGCTGCTGCTGCTGCTGCTGCTGCTCCCAAAGGGCAAGTCGTCGCACTCGAAGCTGAGCACCAGATGCCGCAGCAGAATAACGCTTTGTCGTAGCTGGTTTATCTTGATGTCCTCCATGACGTCAGCAGATGTGCAGACACGAGCTGCTGCTTCTGCTGCTGCTGCTGCAGCTGCTGCTGCTTCTGCTGCTGCGGCTGCTTCCTCCCCAGTCGGTGCATCTGGCTTTGGTGTCTCTGAGGCGGACATGCCCGAGTCTGATGAGCAGCAGAAGGCATCGCTGCTACACAAGTTGCTGCCGCTCTTGCTGCTGCTCAAGTTGCTGCTGCTGCGCCATTCATCCTGCAGCAGGTCGCTGCCTCTGCCTTCCCCAGACCAAGTATGCAGCCCTTCAAACCACAACCCCTGCTGCTGCAGCTGCATGGACACTTGACGGCCCAGCCGCCGCTGCTGCTGCTGCTGCTGCTGCTGCTGCTGCCGGTTGTGGCCGCCTGTTCGGTGGTCCCACGAGACGCTCTTCCAACGCTCGCTGTGCAACAGCAGCTTCCGCTGATGATGCTGCCTAGGAGACCGCGCCTTTGTGGTGCTTCTACCTGCAGCAATCTCTGACTCGCTGCAACTGCTGCTGCTGTCTGTTAAGGCACCCCACTCGGAAGGAGTTTTGCTGCGAAGGCTCGCGAAGCCTTTGCGCAGCAGCTCGACAGCTCCAGCAGTTCTGTGCTGCTGCTCCTGCTGCTTCTGCAGCATTTTTTCTTCGAAATTGCCGCTGCTTTGTTGTGAGTAGTCCGTCAGGATGCTGTCTGCAGCTTCGGCTGCTGCTGGCGTTGCACCAAAGGCTGAAGCAGCAGCAGCAGTAGCACCTGCTGCTGCTGCTGCTGCTGCGTGTGCGGCTGTATTTCCGGCTCTGTAGCCGCCAGCCCCGTACATGACTCCCCTGTAGCTGCTGCTGCTGACAGGCCCAACAACTATGTGTCTCCGCAGCAGCAGCATGTCGTGCAGCTCGGCAGCAGCAAGACTGCAGCGAGCAAAATTGAACCTGAAATGGAGGTCTCGTGCTGCTGCTCGCAGCTTGAAGAGGATGTCTGCTTGCTGTCGTAGCTCTCTGTACACCCCAACCAACCAGCTGCTCCGCTGCTGCTCCTCCTGTTCATCTTGCTGCTGCTGCTCCTGCTGCTGCTGCTCCTCTTTCTGCCGTTGCTGTTGCTCAGCCGCCACCCAGCTGCAATAGTCAGGCCACTTCCCGCCGCAGCTGCTGCCGAAAAATAGCTGCAACAGCAGGATGACGTGGTCCGGGCTTACATTCAGTGACAGCTGTTGCTGCTGCTGTTGCACTTGCTGTCTTCCCCAATTGGGACTGCGCCTCTGGTCTCTTGTGAGATTCTCCTGCTGCTGTTGCTGTTGCTGCTGGTCACCATCGATGCCCCGGACAAACAGTTGCGCATCCACCTTCAGCTGCGGCTGCTCCTGCTGCTCCTGGTGTTGCTGCTGCTGGTGCTGCTGCTCCTGCTGCTGCTGCTTCTGGAAGAAGACGTTCACCCTTGTGAAGAGCTGTGCTACCTGCAGGAGCGGCTGACCCGCAGCATCAGCAGCAGATGGTGTCTCTGCTGCTCCCAACTCGTAGACCAGGCAACAGAGTCCGCGCCTAAGCTGCAGCAAGCAATCGGCCGATAGAAGTTCCGGAACTGCGCAGCTGCTGCATGCATGTGTTGCTGCTGCTCCTGCTGCTCCAGGTTCTGGTGCTGCTGCAGCTGCTTCCGCAGCCTCCTTTGACATCTCGTTGTTACGTACAGATTCTTCGCCATGGCTCGACTCCTGCTGGGCATCGGCAGGTACTCCTGCAGTTGCTGTTGGTGCTGGAATTGCCGCTGCTGCTCGGTACCTGACAGCTGCACCCAAGTGCAGCGCCGGAAGCAGCAGTCGCAGCAGCAAAAGGCCCTCCAGCGCAAACTGCAGCTGCAGGTCTTGCAGCAAACTGAGCTCGAGTTGCAACTGTATCTTCTGCTGTTCTCTCTGCTGCTGCTGTTTTGCCCTTCTTGCCGGGCTGTTGTTGCCCTGTGGGCTTTTGTTGCTGCTGCTGCTGCAGGTATCCCTAAACTTGACGCAAGCAGAATGCTCCTCGCGTGCAGCAGCAGCAGCAGCAGAAAACGCCACTGCTTCATTTGGACCAAACACTCTGTGAGCCCAGGCTGCTGCTGCACTGGCTGCAGTTGCTGCTGCTGCTGCGCTTTGAGAAAACAGTAGTGTCACGTTGTGTGGCTGGAGCAGCAGGCGGCGCATATCTTCGGCCTCCCCATCCCCAGGGCTGCTGTTGTTGCTGCTGCTGCTCAAGGGGGTATGCAAAGTGTCGGATGGAATGAGCTTAAGGGAAGCGAAGTGTAGATCTACCTGGTCGGAAGAGAGCAGCAGCACTGGCCGCTGGGCTGCAGCTGCTGCTGCTGCTGCAACAGACTTTCCCGCAAACGCGAAGAACTCTCGGTTATTCTTGCGGAGATGCACCAAATGCCGCCGCACCCACTGCTTGTCCTGCAGCAACAGCGCTTGCTCCTGCTGTTTCTGTTGCAGTTGCTGCTGGCGTTCGTCCGCAAACAGCATTAGCTGCAGAGACTGCATGCGCAACTGTACGGTGCGGTAGGTGGTGCGAGGAGGGGGCAGCACCAGAACTGCTGCTGCTGTTGCTGCTGCTGCTGCTCTTCGATAGTCGTCAACGCAGATGCCCACCCTCTCCATTCTTACTGCTGCTACTGGTGTGTATGTACACCACGTGCTGCTGCCGTCGCCAGCAATTTCCTGCTGCTGCTGCCACATGCGCCCAAGAAGAGTGCGCTGTTGCTTGTGCCTCCGCCGTAGCTGCTGCTGTTGCTGCTGCTGTCGGGGCAGTGGAGTGACACAGCGGCCCACAGCAACCCAAGACGTCATGTCTACAGCGGCACGCCGCTGCTGCACCTTCTGACGCAGCAGCTGGACCACTTCAGCTGTACGTACAGCAGGCACAGCAGCACGCACATCAGGGTCTGCAAACGGACAGAGAGCAGGCTGCAGAGGCAGAGGCTCATTTGCTTCTTGCTCCTGTTGCTGCTTTTCTCGCTGCTCTTGCTGCTGTTCTTGTTCCTGCTCTTGCTGTTGCTGCTGCTGCTGCTGCTGTTGTTGCCTTCTGTTTATCTCGCCGAAGTTGCAGCTGCGAAGGGTCCTTAGGCTGCGCATACACCTGCCTGTTTCAAGTGTCATTTGCCGTCTTAGGCCAGAAACAGACATATCTTTGCTGCTCTTTCTGCTGCTGCTTTTGCTGCTGCCGCTCTTGCTGCTGCGTAGGCTCCAATTGCTGCTGCCCTCCAAGTCCGTGGAGACACGTGTCTCCACAAAAGCCCCGAATGTTGGTCGGCCTCTACGCTGTAGGCGGGTACACACCCGGCTTACTTCGCTGCTGCTGCTGCGGCTTTTGCTACGGCTGCTGCTGCTGCTGCTGGTGCTGCTGCTCCGGCTTCTGCTACTGCTGCTGCTGCTGATGCTGCCGTTGCTACTACTGCTGTGGCTGCGGCGGCCCCTCCCGCTCCGGTACAAGGCACCGTTCCTACCCCTACCCGATGAAGACGCGAATTCATCTGGCTGCAGCCACCCGCCTCCTGCAGTGCCACCTTTGTTGGCAGAGGCAGCTGCTAAGGCTGCTGCTGCTGCTGCCGACCTCCTGAGACAAGCAATGTACACTTGAGAGAAGCAAACATACAGCGGAGTCACCTGAGCGGCTGCGATGCCGTCTCTGGCGGCGGCAGCAGCAGCCGCAGCAACAGGGGAAAGGATCTGCTGGGTTCCATAACTGCAGCGGACGAGACGGCCAGCAGCAAGGGAAGCAGTCTTGTGGCGCTGCAGCTGCTGCTGATAAGCCGCTGCTGCCGCTGCAACCTGCCGAATAAGGGGGCCAACCGCATGCGCTGCTTCAGCTGCTGCTGCAGCAAGACATGCAAGGCTAAGGGTTTCCGCATACAGCACAGTCGCCCCCTCAACAAACATGCATACCCACTGCTGCGGGTCGCTATATAGCTGGTGCTGCTGCTGGATCGTGCTCCTGAGCTGCCAATGCCTCCGGTGTAATGACATTCGAATGACTTCTCCTCTAAAGAGAGGAGGTGCGGACTCTCTGTTCTGCTGCCGCTCCTGCTCCTCTTCTGCTGACGCTTCCTGCTGCTCCTTCTGCTTGTGCTGCTCCTGCTGCTGATGCTTGGGGTCCTCGGTCAGGTAAAGAACTCGGGGCGATGTCACCAAAATGTCAATGTGAGGGAAGCAAGGCTCTTCAGCTTGTTTTCCCTCGCGGCTGCTGTCCCCGCCGCAGTGCTGGTGTTGCTTATCCCGCAGTGGCAGGAGCTGCTGCTGCCGGTGCAGATGCTGCTGCTGCTTGCGTGGATCAGCGGTTACTTCTTCAAGCTGCTGCTGGTGTTTCGCTTGCAGCTGCTGCATGCGCTCTGTTTCCTGCTGCACTATGCTCCGGAGTCCTGAGGGGGTTTGCTGCAGCGAAACAGGGTGTATGTTCACTGTAACCCCTTTTGCTTCAAGAGCAAACCGCCGAGCGACAGAGACAGAAATGCCCCCCACTTGAATCTGCAGCACGGGCTCGGGACCCCCCCTTAGACGGTCGTCCTGCAGCAACAAATGCAAGCAATACACCCTGCATATATTTGTCCCTCTGCTGCTCTTGCCGCTCTTGTTGCTGCTACTGTGCTAGCGAATCCAACCCTACACGTTCGGCGCAGTGTGCTAATAACAGGCCCCAGCAGAAGCCCTGCTTGAGCAAAAGGACTGCAGCAGCGACATTTGCACAAACAGCCAGAGGACAGAAGCATCAGCAACAGCAGTACAAGCTGCAGCAGGGAACGCAGCATGTGTATTTTCTTACCAGCTTGAGGGCTGTGAGAGAAGGCTGCAGCAAGTCGTGTTGCACCGCCTCCACAAGAGCAAAGAGCGGCAGCAGAAGCTGCTGCTGCAGCGGAAAGCTGCTGGCGCGCTGTATGGACACCTTAACAGACCTCCCACTCTGAGGAACCCAAATACTTAAGTCCGAGAACTGCGTCTCCTCGGTGTCTCCGCATGCATGCAGTTCGCACTCCTGGTGCTGCTCCTCCCCTTCTTCCTCCTGCTGCTCCTCCTCCTCCTCCTCCTGCAGCACCGGCTCCTGCTGTTTTGGCGGATGCACTTGAAGGTGCAGAGAACGAAAACACGTCAGCGCAGAGCAGGGGTGCAGCTCCTCCATGCCATTGCCGTTGCTGTTGCTGTTGCTGTTGCTGCTGCTGCTGCGGACGTACATGGACTGCACGTGGACTGGCATAGCAGCAATAACAGCACCACCAGCGAGGGAAGAGCTGTGAATATGCATTGTAGGGACGAGTAGCCGCAGGAGAGCTTGCTGCTGCTGCTGCCGTTGTGGGTGCTTGTTTTCCTGCTGCTTCTGTTCCTGCTGCGGCGCGGCCTGCTGCTGGTGGTCTTGCTGCTGAAGCTGCAGCGCAGCAGCAGGGGAGTAAACAGCAAATCGACGAGCAAGGAAGTGGAAGCTATCTGGGGCGAGGCCTTCAAAGCCGTTAAGGTCTTTAACCGCTGCTCCAAAGGCGCGGAGGCTTGGCCGCCAATCAAACCCTGAAAAAAAGGAACAGCTTGCTGCAAGAAAAGGCAGCTCTGCTGCGTCTGCTGTTGCTGCTGCTGCTGCTGCTGCCGCTGCTGCTGCTGTTCCGCCTAATCCCCACCCTTCTTCCACTCCGCATCTTCCTGCGGGTGCGCTCGTCTCTGCTTCTGCTGTTCCGCGCTCTGCAGTGGAATCGACTGCCGGTTTGGCAGTTCCTGCGGTCTCTCCGTCAAGGTTGTCTCCGCCTCTGCTGCTGCTGCTATTTCCGGTGTCCGCAGCCGGAGCAGCAGGAACAAGCTGCTGCGTCGTACAGCGATCTTTCCAGTGTCTGTACACGCCGCGGAGGTGCAGCAGCAGCAGCACCCAAAACAGCAGTCCTTCTTCGCGCCAGTGTAGCCATCCTCCCGGTAGGACGACTCTCACGTGCTGCTGATAGACCGGTCGCTGCTGCACCTGTCCATACACACCAATTCTTGTTGCTTCGCTTAAAGGCCTTATCTCCACACTCCTGCTGCTGCAGCTCACCAGCAACGCCCCACACCACCCAGTCAATGTCCACGGGCTCGGAACCCAAGGGCCCCCCAAGCTGCTGCTGCTGCTGCTGCCGCTGCTGCCGCTCCTGCTGCTGCTGTAAGCATTCTTCAGGCGCAGCAGCTCGCCAATACCAACGAAGAAAGAGACAGCTGCAACTGCTGCATCCGTGGACACTGTTGCTGCTGCTTCAGTGTGTGTTCTATTTGCTGCCATTCTTGCTGCCGTTGGTGAGCCTGCTGCTGCATTCGACCCTGCAGCTGCTCCGTCAGCAGCCTGGAGAGGCGCGTTTGCCGTTATGTCGGGTGCAATGGCTGGTGAGCCACGAGAATGAATGGAGTGCAGAGCTTCTGCTGCTTCTGCTGCTGCTGCTGTCCGGCGCATTGCTGCTTCCGCTGCATCAGCTGATGCTTCCGGTGGTACAGCACCTGCAGCCGCAGCTGCAGCAGCAGAAGCAGCAGCAGCGGCGCTGCCGCAGGATGAGACGTGAGCAGTGGAGAACCTACATATTCCCGTAGAAACCGCAAATCGAAGTATTTTGCTGCTGATGTTGCTACTGTTGCTGCTGTTGCTGCTCGTGGTGCTGCCAGGTCCGTTCTCGCTATTCATGGCTGCAGCAACAGCCAAGCAAGACAGTGGTGGCATGCAATCCCGCTGCTGCTCTTCCGCGAGGCGCTGCTGCAGTTGCTGCAGCTGCTGCATTTGCTGGTGAAAGCCGCAGTCGGCTGTCTTGAGCTTCTGCTGCTCCCGGCGTACGATTGTCTCCAGCTGCAGCAGCACTCCGTCCCCGTGCAGCAGTAAAGCGCTGCTGCTGCTGCGCTCGAGGACATGGAGCAGCAAACGAGGCACCGACACCATGACAGGCAGCGTGTGCTGCTGCATGTTGTTGTCGGTGCTGCTGCTGCTGTTGTTGTTGCTGCGTGCAGCTGCCGTATTCCTGGCTACTCGAGTGTCCCCATTCTCCCGGCCGTCCACTGCGGTGCCTCCCTGATTGCTGCTGCTGCAGCTACTGCTGCTGCTGCTGATGCCACTCCTACACCTCCAATAGGCCTCAACAACCCTGGCAAGAAGGTTGACTAACAGGTTGACAGCAACAGTTCCACTTGTGTGTATATACACCGCGCGCGCAGTACAAGTGCTGCTGCCGCTACTATTGCTGCTGCTCAGGCCTGAGTCGAACAGCACAGTAGCTGCTGCTGCTTCTTCGGTGTGCAGCACAGGCGGCAGCAGCAGCGCAGCAGGCGGCAGCTGTTCAGGCAGCAAAAGGGCGCCCCGCGCCCGGCAGGCAGCCTGTACAGGTGAGAACCACCTCTTCGCTGCTGCTGTTGGTGGTGGTCCTGTTGTTGTTGCTGCTGCTGCTGGAGCAGCTGGAGCAGCAGTTGCTGCTCGGAGGTCCGAAGCACTCACGCTGTTGAGACAGTACAAAGACATCAAATGCGATAAATACGTTGCTGCAGACACAGTCGCGTCTTGCCTGTCTGCTTCCACAGCTCCGCGCCACCACCATCTCCTCTCTGGTGGGCAGCAGCTGCTGCTGCTGCTGTTGTTGTGGTTGCTGTTGTTGTTGCTGCTCTGGGAAGCCCCAGGGCACTCAAGACAACTCACTGATGCCTGCCCAGGAATCGGCAGGCTGTAGCTGTTGGTGCTGCTGCTGCTGCTTGCTGCCTCCTCTTGCAGGTCGTAAAGAAGCGGGGGCCTTTGAAGCTGCAGTCTCTGCAGCCCTGCAGCTGGTGCTGATGCAGCTGTTGCTGATGCAGCGACAACTGCGGAACGGTTGTCGCGAGGGTTTGCTGCTGCTGCAGCGAGTTGTGCCGAGCTGCGAGCAGCAGCAACAGCAGCTGTTAGAAGGTCAGACGGCAGCACGGACAGACAGCCTGCAGCATCAACAAAGCAGCGGCAGCAAATACCTTTTGTTGCTGCTGCATGCAACCGCAGCGACGCAAATGCTGCGGATGGCAGCAGCAGCAGCTCGTTGACCGTCACCAGCACCCCTGCGCTTCGGAAGTCACTCTGCCGCTCCCTGCCTTGCTGTTGCACCCGTGAGTGTTGCTTTTGCTGCTGTTCCTCTTCCTCCCGCAGGTGCTGCTGCTGCTGCTGCTGCTGTGTCGGTGGCGGCAGCACTACCAACCCCAGCAGCTCAACACAGCCGGCCCTAAAAGCGCAGGTCCTCGCCACCGCATGCAGTAAGCACAGCCGCAGCACGAACTGCAGCAAGCTGGGACTTCGCGTTGCTGGTGCTGCTGCCGCTGCTGCCGCTGCTGTGGCTGGCAACTGGGGACACTGCGCCTCCAGCTTTCCGGCCGGCTCTGGCGTGTTTTCTTTGCTGTTGTTGATGCTGCTTTTGCTGCTGTTGTTGTTGCTGCTCTGAAAACGGCACGTTACCGATATTCGACCAGCAGTGAGCAGAACGCGGCTGCTGAGGGGCCTTTTGCTGCTGCGGCGGCTCTGCTGCAGCGCCTGCCTTATCAGCAACAAACACCCGAAGAGGAAGGAGACAGGGGCCAAAAACTCCCGTAGGAGTCTGGTGCTGCCGCTCCTGCCGCTGCTGCTGCGCCTTTCGTCGAGGGTGCGCCTGCTTCTATCCCTGCTGCCGTTGTCAGATTTATTGCTGCTGCTGCTTCTCTGGTCTGCTGCTGCTTCAGGGTTTGCTAATTCTGCTCGTGCGGCCCCGTTGCCCTCGGCAGTCTCTGCACTACTGCTGCTGCTGCTACTGCAGGGGAGTGGTGTTTCTTCTTTTTCCTTATGACTGAGGGACAGACGCAGGCTGGAGACTGCAACGCGGGTCTCGCTTCTTTTGTGGGTGATGCAGCTCTTGCACTTTCCAATCTTGATGCGGCTTTTGCTGTTGCTGCTGCTGCAGGAGGCGCAGTGTTGGGTCACCTCCTCCTCGAGTAGAATGACTGCATCTTTTAAACTCAAAAAGCCGCTGTGATGCAAGGAATTGCACGTCAAGTACAGACACCTCGTGCTGCTGGTGCTGTTGGTGGTGCTGCTGCAGATCCGCGCAGCAACAGAAGGCGCTGCGCCAGCCTCTGCTGCTGGAGGCAGCACTCCCAAACTATGCTGTACTTCTTGGGATTGAACAGCCGCGGGTAGCCCCTGTTCATCTGCTACTTTAGTGTTGTTGTTGCCGCTGCTGCTGTCGTCACCCTTGCTGCTGTGTGCGTTGCTGCCGCTGCTCCTGTGAACTCTCTTAATAAGTACCCGCCTGAGTAAACGAGGCAGCAAGAAGGAGAGGATGGGAGGCAACAGCAAACCCGCCAGCAGGAAGAACACGAGAGAGAGCAACGGCGGCAGCAGCAGGTGCAGCAGCAGTTGCTGCTGCATGGTGCTGGCTGTCATTGCCGCGGTACGAATGGGTGTCTGCGTGGAGGTGGCGCGGCCGCTGCTGGGTCCAGCCTGCGACTCTTATAAGAAGCTTTACTGTTGCGGTTGAGCAGGAGCTGCTGCTGCTGCTGCCTCTGCTACAGCCAGACCAGCACCGGCTGCTGCTCCTTCCTCTGCTCGTACTGCCGCTGTGGCGGCCGAGAAAGGAGGGCACGCCAGGAAGGGCTCCATACCTTCCCTGCTAAGACCCCCCTTCTGCAGCAGACACGATTGCAGAGGGTTTGCTGCTGCTGCTGCTGCTGCTGCTGCTAGCTCTGCTGAGCAAAGGGGCAGGGCCCCATGCCTTTCGTCCTGGGAATTCGTCTGCGAAAGGATTCTGCAGGTTGAGTCTGTAAGACTCGTTGAAGCAAAAAGATGTCTTCGTGTAGCATGCAGAGCAGCAGCAGCTGCTGCTGCTGCTGCAGTAGCTGTAGTGCACAGACACTACATTGCCCACGGCTGCGGTAGCTTAAGAGTAAGATAGGGAGTGGATACTGTGAGTTATTCAAGGTCTGAGGTTACTTTCGTTCAAGTATAGGTATAATTCAGTAAGATTAGTAGGTTTATAAGTATATTAGAGGTGTAGCAGTCTATTAGGGCCGTGTGTTAAGAAGCAGCACCCAGCCGCTGGGCTGGGCTGCGCGCGTAGAAGGTAAGGAGCATAGTTAGTCTTATGTAGCACCGTAGATTCGATTAGAGATGAATGTCTTATTAATTAGAAGGAATTGGCACATTTAGGAGCATAGTTAGTCCCAAAGAGTCAGGTCATGCTTGCGGTCCGCCCGAAGCACCTGGTGCCGGGTTGAATAGCCGACTGTAGCCCGCACCCGGCGAGGGAAAGCAGAAACTGATGGAGGGAGGCGATTCTGACCGATCCTTCCATCGGAAGTTCCGTAAATTTGGGATTTCTCCGGGGAATAACAGAAACCTAACGTTATTTTGACACGTAATCCGTAGATCTAGTGACATAGAGACCACGGGCCTATTTAGGAGTCATACGTAGCCACGGTAGACGGCCACCGTGCGTTACATTTGGGGGCCTTTCCGGGAAATCCATTGAAGAAATTCCACTTTCTTCCTTCCTTTGTTTTATTATGAACCCTAGGGACCTCTCTCTTTCGACGTTTGGCCCTTGCACATAGACCCCTTGCGGCAGATCTGACGATGGGAGGCGATCGAGACCCCCCCGAGGGATAGAGGCATCGGTCTGGGGAGCGGCCATACGACGGAACTAGGCCGCGAGAAGAACCCTTTGTCCAGAGAATAACCCTAAATTCAGATTCGGACTCGCCTTTACAGACAGTGAGAAAAGATTACTATGAATCCAGAGCTCATAGGAGCGAACCCTTCATCCGGCCTCTCCCCCACCTACAACCGGAGAGTGGATCTAATATGTTGAACTTCCTTCGCAACTTAGGACTGACTTTCGCTGACGCTTGCGTACCCCGGGACCGTTGGGAATATGAGGTCGAAAGCTGACGAGGCGTCACGCGCGGGATGTGAGAAGCGACCGAGGCGAGAACTTTCAATTAAAGATCAAGACGATGGATATGTGGGAATTGATGAGCAGAGTGTTTCTGGTCAGATGGAGATATTGCGTATACAGCAACGCTGAGTTAACCATGCAGCTTTATTAGCTGTCACTGTGAACAGAAAGGGATGTACGTTTGTTCATGATACAAGGACGCACATAGAAATGCGGCGAAGCACTAGTCTGGTGTAGAGATCGGATATCCTGAAGGGCTGGATGCGCTTGCTTCTCACAACCAAAGCAACACTAACGATTCTGGGACAGCTAGAAGATGCAAGGCAGGTGACTAAATTCATACAAGGATGCAGCAGAAGCAGCAGGAGTACATCTGTCGAAGGCCCTTGACCAACTAGTCTCTGATCTGGTTCGATTCTGGAAGGGTCATGAGCAGCATGCAACGAGTGACTGGCGATTCCACCTTAACGGCGGTCCTTTGGGCGGACAGGTCCGGTGTGCGCTGGACACTAAACGGCAAGCGTGTGTTGCGGCAGCAGGGGATGCTAAGAAATAGGTGATGAGTGTGGGACATCGGATAGAGAGGTAGGCGACAAGGCTTAGGGACCGGCCTTGGGTACCCTAGTGTTGTCAGAAGACGCGAAAGAAACATTTCAACTGGTGTTTAAGGTTAGAGAGGGTTTGGAGAGCTTGCTGTCTTCGCCAAATTTGACAGCAAAATCGTCATTAGCACTTGCGACGTAAATATGCTGGTTTTGGTGTAAGGACTGGCAGATAAAGCTGAAGAAGCCAAGGAAGCTGCCCTAGAGATGGTAGTAGGTACCACGATCCTGCAGCAAGCGGAGCTCCTGCGAACAGGGGAACTGCAAGAGCAAGTGAAGAAGGCGACGCCAGACCAGCTAAAGCAAATTTTCCAGAAGCTCGTTAAGAGCAATCGAAAGGTGGAGGCAGATCTTGGAGCAGCCAACCGAGCAGTTCGACGGCTAATTGCTTCCACGATGTTGGAGGCTGCACACTCAAGCAGGGCGGATAAGGCACGACGACTGTCACCCGAAGAAGCAAATCTCTTGGCGAAGTGGAATGAGCGGTTTGGAGGCGCAGGACACTACACTGCTGACTGCCCGACATCGGCACGAAGCGTGGTCGGTAAAGGGGCTAGGCAGCCGACCACACGTACTAGTGATGAGAGAGCTAACCGTTTAAACGAGAAGCCGCGGGACACACGGGACTACAAGGCTTATAATTGCAGACGACAGGGTGGACAGAAGGCAGCAGAGGCGGCGTGAGCCGCCCCAAGAGAAACGGAGAGTGGAGCAGGCAACGGATGGGAATTCGTTTGTAGAACGTACGACCGTTGAGAGATCCGACGAACGCGCTGCATATGAGCGTACACGGGTCCTGTGCGAGGCATTGACACGACTTAATTCCAGTAGCCCTGGGACGCGGAACGAGACTGCCGCTTGAGAGCAGGTCCGCAGCTTCTCCGTGTGCGGACCTGCTCTCACGATTACCGGCCACCGTGCGTTATAGTAGCCACTGGTGATACCTGATTCAGTAGCCGCCAGTCAGTCGGCAAAACAGCAACGGCCGCAGCTGCGCCCACAGTTTATGGACGACTTTTGTGTGTTAATTAACATCTTATTGTTTTTTTCAGATTTATTCAGCTGCCGCAGCAACAGCAGCAGCACGCCCTTGGCCTCCCCCCGCCTCCAGGAGACTGTCTCCTTTGTCAGCATCCTTCGGGGCCGCTGCAGCACGAGTTTTACTCCCATAAGTAGGAGCATCCGGCTCATGACTCTTAATGCAAAGGCCTAGTTGGTGCAGGCATTTTCATGTACATAGGCACCAACGGCAGCGGCGACACCAGCAGCAGTTTGGTGGCAGCAGAATCTAGCATGCAGAGAATTCTGTGCATTAGGAGGCAGCAACTGCCTCCTATTGACGGGAAAAGGGCAGCTGGCTGCTGTTTCTGCAAAGTCAGGTCCCTGCTGCTTCGAGCTGATATCTGTTACTGCGAGGGCCCTCCGCTACCCGTTTTTGTTCTCCTCCTACAGCAGCAACTTCGTCATTCTGCTTATTTTGTTGTATGCCCATCTTCCCAAGTGCATGGCTAACATGTAGGATGGTCCAGCACCTCTTCTTCCACCTAACGCTGCATGGTTTCTTAAGAAGATTAGCTGCTGCTTGTGACACAGAGTATTACGGGACTGCACCTGCTGACACGTGCACTTATGCTGCACCAGAAGCCATGTAAACAATAGGAAGAACGGCAGTATGGCCAGCAGCACCTTCCCTAGCATTAAGTGGCTCGCTAGGAGTCGCTACCTACTCTGGTTTGCAGCGGCTGAAATCTTATTTTGTTGGTGAGTATAACCTGTGCTATATGTGGGCGAATGCCCCTTAGTTATGCAGTTGATGGGGCTCTAGCGTATAGGGCAGCTGCTGCGACAGCCGTTACAGAAACTGCTGGTGCAGCAACGTTACTGGGGCAGGTCGTCCTTAAACAAGGGCTCCAATGGCTGCGGTGCACCTGCCAGAGCTGCTCTACAGATGCCTCGTGCAGCGAGGCGGTATAGCACTTAAGTTGTTCATTTCAGAGTTGCGGAGCCACAGCGATGAGACAAAGGGAATTAAGAGACTGCACCTGAGGACATTTTTGTTGGATGAAGTTGAGCCTCCTTGATCACAGCACGCCACTGTGCAACTGCGCGCAACGCGCCAGCAGCCTAGATGCGGTCCACCTAGCCCATATTGGTGCTAATGTAATTCCCTACACTCTCTACTATAGTGGATGTTGAGCCCTTTGTTGCTCTCAGGATCATAGAAAATGACCGATTATCTCCTTCATTGCTAATTTGAGAAGTCAATTCTTAATCCGAGGTAAATCTTTGTACTTCTCTACTGCACCCAGTGCCTCGAGCATCAAGTTGCACCGGCTACCCGGGTTTGGGGATGGCAAGGTTCGAACCACTGGTGCCTCTGCTTCAATGGGCCACCAGTCCCAGTCTTCCTAATAAGCTCATGCTGTTCTTTATCCCTCAAGTTGCGTCATTTCCAGTTCTTCTGTCTGCTCTGCCTACGGCTCAAGTGTTTTTTGTTCCAATCGTCCATGAAAAATTGTAGTGCCAAGTACTACAAATATCTGAGGCTTGAGGCCTTTCTTTGCTTGCTGAACGGTGATGGGAGTTGTACTCCGCAGAAACACAATATTGCCCAAATGTGAAACCCCAATGTTTTACGATTCAGTGAAAGAATAACTAATGGGGAAGCACAAATTATTCAACAATTTGGAATTACAGCTACACCACCCAAGGGAACGTATCCCAAGGACATTTCCTGCCAAAAGTGTATGGCACCTGAACCTAGAGCGTGGGACTAGCAGGAGCCACAGGTAATGGAAGGGAAGTAAATTCTTTCCGGGAGACTTCTACAAGGAAAAGAGAGCGGAATCTCTTTGTGTGGTCCAAGCATCGAAGAAGGCTCCTTACGCAGTGTAGAGGCAAGGAGCGAAGAGGCTCCTTACGCAGTGCAAAGGCGCTGCAGGACACGATGGAGAAATGCATGCTCGCCTTCGTGATTGTCATGGCAGACCGCCATTTGGGCGTATTCGATCCTCTGAAGACACGTGGAACAGTACACGTGGGCACGAAGGAAGGGTTCGCATATTAATTAAATAACTGTGGACTGCCAGAGAATCGGGCACCTGCTGGGCCTTCAATGTAGGGTGCAGGGCTCACCCAGGAGCAGCCCCAACCATTGTCCCATGGGAACGGCAACCCTAGCCTGTTACACAAACAGGAAATTGAGCTGCAGGCACAAGAACTTCCCAGAAAAAGCAAATTCAAGCCGTCAACCCCAAAAGGAACGCCAGGTGGCGCATGCGCGACGAGTTCAAGCCTCCCAACAAGATCACCGTGGAACAGAAGTGACTGAGAGCAGCCGAGTTCTCTGGATGCTGTCGGTTTCTGGCTTTTAGCTTTTTCTAGACAGAGTTGGTATCGACATCCCCAACATTCATAAACGCAATACCTGGATCGTTCCACAGCCTCTGCCTTCCGTGTCAGCGAAGATAGTACATGCTGCATTTCTCCTCTGTTTGAAGCGTAAGAATTCCACCATCTATATGAGGTCCTCTGTTTGAAGCGTAAGAATTCCACCATCTATATGAGGTCAGCTCTTTCACCTCTTAGTTCCCTCTCCAGGACCAAGTTGTTTATAGGCATCCTTTCCCATGGGGACACCATTTCTATTCGACATCCACACGGAAGTTAGGAAGCCACCGTTGGGCTTCTGGTCATCAACAACTGTTTCCTCTCGATATAGATCTCTATCGGTACCTTTCAAGCGATGGTGTTTCCACAACTCCGCCATAGCTTGCTCCCGTGACGACTTGGGAAGATGCACCTGTCGCAGCCTACATCGGAAAGCTTCCAGATTACTGGGTGTGCTCCGGCAAAGTAGTAGCGTTGCTTATATATAGCCACCAGTATTGCGTCTCCAGTTCTAATAATGAAGATGCAAAATAGCAGGTACAGATCCGCTGATGCTTGTTGTTGAAGAAAACACAGTGGTCGAAGGGCAAGAAACTACTGCAGTGCAGAAGCATCGCTGTGATCGTCACATATGGATGGTCCGTGATGGCTGAGGCATTTTACATGAATTACTTTGGGGGCATACCCATTTTCCATAGGCCGACACGCAGAATGTGAGATTGCTGCCATGAAGTTGCAGCTCAGAATATAGGTTGGCTCAAAACAAGAAGACCTATGCTGATCAGCTGTTATGCACGGTAAGTGCTCCTTATAGCTGCAATTTTTAAACGCCTCCTGCATCACTCGCGGATGGCACTAGTTTGCGGATTCATGCACATCCGCGAGTGGTGCAGGAGGCGTTTAAAAATTGCACCTATAAGGAGGAATATCAAGGAAGACTTCTCCAAATATTTACCAACTCTCAGCCTTTCACCTACCGTGCACAACAGGTGATCAGCATAGGCCTTCTTATCCGCCTAGACAGATCCGGAGCCTGAACCTGCGGCAAAGAATCATCGGGTGCTAGAATGTTTTACGGGTGTCTTCTGGTTCTCAAGGATTACTTCGAGCTAGCCAAAATACACTTAATTACTGTAAAAGCAGCTGTCTTAGTAAAAGCAGCTGTCTTATCCCTCCCTCCAAGCCACCGCAATCTCCACTCGCCAGGCTCCCTGAGCACAGCGTCTCAAGCTCCAGTACCTGGAAGAGAGGGATCGTTCTGCCATCGCTTGCAGCTCACAGTGCAAATCAGCCCCACGGGGGAGCACCAACAAGCCTTCTGGGCTCTGTGCACGAACACTGTAGAAAAGTGTTAGATGAGGGCTTCTGGTTGCGTGCCGGTTGCCTGCTTCAGGCAGTGTTGAGCTTCATGCGTTAACTTCAGGCGGTGGTGCCAGCTGGACAGCTATGCTGCATGCATGCATCGTACGCTGCACGAGCGGAGCCAGGCACAATCGCTACAATCATCTGCCCCCACTGGCTATTAACTAAAAGCAGGGGTGGCACAAGGGCCACGTTAGTAGTTAGCCACGTACTATTCAAGACAAATGTATGATATGCTGTTGCAGCGGACCTTAAGGGGAGAGTGGAAGGGACTGGATGGCGTACGATACAGTGTATCCTGCGATAACTGAAAGAGGCTGCGGTTGGGGTGTTGATAGTGGGTTAGTCCAAATGAAAATCGCTACCGTGCACAAAGCAAACATATGAAAATCGAATGAGTTGGTGGGAGGATGTCTTGGTGCCTCGGCGGCTTAACAGCGACGGGATATATCACCACCAGCTGCCCCTTGCGGTGCCCCACAGCACTTGGGGGCGGACAGAACGACTTGTGCATACATCGGACTTTCTTTGCGGCTGCTTTCTCCTTTTTCCCCCTTTTGATACTTCTCCCTTTACCCTAAGCAGCTGATTGGGGGCCCTCTTTGAGCCGCGACTCCCCGCACCAGCACCCGCCCGAGCTGGCCCCGTGCTGCGGCCCCACCCTGCAGTGGCACTTGTGTCCTTACTGTCCTGTCATTTCTCTTCTGTAGATCTGTGGGCTGCTTCTCCGCACAACCCATTCTCAAACGAAGATGTACTTCAGCAGCTTTCCCTTTGGGGAAGACATACCGGGCCACGGCAGGCCCAGGGGGCCGCCTAAGGAACGGAACACAACCAAGTTCTACGAGCTGCTCGAAGTAGATAAAAATGCATCCGTACAAGGTCAGCCTTCTTCAGCGCTTATGCATCACGGCCACGTGCGTCTCTACAGAGGGAGTGACCGCGATGGCAGCAGCAGTGGCTCCAGTGATGTACACGCCACCTGCGGCAGTGGTTCATGCTGCGGTGGCAGCTCTATGAGCACCTCGTACTGCAGCTCTGAGTCATTGCATTGCCTGTGGACCTAGCACGTGGGTGCATTAGGTGTAGCAGCACCAAGAACTAGTGGCGGGCTCCAATCCACGGCGCAGCTGTCCGAAGCCCCAGAGATGAGGGGCAGAAATAAGCTCATGCCAAACCATCTTAGCTTGTGGTTGGGCTATATATACAGCGGAAATTAGGGGGGCGGGTTTGCTCCTCTGGTTTCGTGCGGTTGGGTCGTTGATGTCTCTCCCCACTGTGTCCGACACGGGGTGTGCAGCTGTCAAGGTGTTCTTTCATGCATAGTTTTGCTTTATCTCCGCATATTTGCTGCAGATATAAAGAAGGCATACCGGAAGTTGGCAATTAAACACCATCCAGACAAGGGAGGAGACCCCGAGAAGTTCAAAGAAATATCTAGGGCGTGAGCCGTTTTCGCAGCTCCGTTCTCATGGCCCATATAGTCGCCATGGGTGGATGGTCACTTTTTGGGGGGTGCCTGTTTTGTGTAGCTGCTTCTCTCTTTATCACACATATGGCCTGGCCTGCTGAAGTTGGAGAGGTGCAACAGGATGTTGGCTGTTCTCGCGGCTGTGTGTTGTGGCTGCAGCTACGAAGTGTTGAGTGACCCAGAGAAGAAGAGCATATATGATGAGCTGGGCGAGGAAGGGCTTGAAGGGGGGGGCGCAGAAACGGACCCCTCAGATATTTTTGACTTGTTCTTCGGAGGGAGAAGGCCAGGCAGGCAGCAAAGCAAGAAGAAGGGGGAGGACATCGTCAGTCCCATCAAAGTCACTCTTGAACAGGTCAGCGACGAGCTCGAGCCCATGATCGGAGAAGCAGACATAAAGACTAGCCGCTTCCTAACTGAAGTGTGTTGGCTTCCTCAGCTGATTCAGAGAGGCGCTGCAGATGGGTCTCCACGAGTTATCGCACCGACACGGGCTGTATCGCTGTCTTTTTGCAGATATACAACGGGGCCCCTCGTCGCATGGCAATCAACAAGGATGTAATTTGCAAGGACTGTGAAGGAAGGGGCGGTCCAGCAGATGCCTTCATAACTTGCAAGGAGTGCGACGGCTCCGGTGTGAAGGTTATGGTAAGTCTGGCCGAATTCACCCCGGCTTGCCGGCTGGAGACCAAGAAAAGTAATGCTTGCAGCATTACTTTTCTTGGTCTCCCTGGCTGCATACTTGCAGCATGACTGAGCAGCAGATAGGCAAACCTGTGGACTGTTCCCGATGTGTCCATTTTCTTCTGGTTCGTGCGTTTCTGATGGCTTGAGAGGGATAGGAATGTTGTTGAACGGTTGAAGTGTGCGTCGAAATTATTGTCGAACTTTTCGGCTTGGGGCTTCCTCTATGTGCAGATCCGCCATCTCGGGCCTATGATCCAGCAGACTCAAGGAATTTGCTCGAGCTGCAAGGGGCAAGGTCGCAGCATTGAAGCCTCAAAGCGCTGCAAGACTTGTGGCGGGAAGGGAGTTTGCAAGGAGAGGAAGATCCTCCAGATCTTTATCGAGAGAGGTGCGTTGTTTTTGCCGCCGCGTTGTCACTTAATTATCTAGGCCAACAGAGTGAATGAGCTTGTGCGTGTGCGAGGAAGTAAACGCCTGGGATATGCAGGCAGTGTATTTACGTTTCTCCGTATTGTCCCTGCTCCTCCTTGCAGGCGTAAAGAACCATCACAAGATTGTTTTCAGGGGAGAGGCCGACGAGCGTCCCGGGGAGATACCAGGAGACGTTGTTCTGGTTGTGGAACAGCAGGCAAGATGCGCACAGAACTAAGTTGACCCGAGGGCTTTACTTTTCCCTTGGGTGTGCACATCGAAATATGTGGATGACAATCCCCATGGCGAGAATCAGGCATAGCATGTGGTTCCCAGGAGAGTGTATAATATTCACTGTCTGATCGGCTTGTTGGCTTCAGGAGCACACAATGTTCAAGCGCCGTGGGAACGACCTGTTCATGACGAAGAAGATTACGCTGTACGAAGCCCTCTGCGGATTTAAGTTCCTTCTGACGCATTTGGACGGTCGCCAACTGCTTATACAGGTTTGGCCACAGATCCCCCCCTCGTCATGAAGTGGCATTGTTTGTTTGTTGACCGCGGGCCTGAATTGGCGTTTTTCTCCGTTCTCGAAGATCTACGCTGCCGCGGCTCGCGAAAACTGATGGGCCTGTTAGAGCTCCACTACTCAGCGGAGTGCCTATGGGCAGTGGATGCCGCTTGCTGCTTTGGAGGCAGAGATGGCCTACAATGCTGAAACCTCTATTTGTCTACATACGCCAGAGACTCATATATAGAGCATTCTACATCTGGTGCATGTTCAGACCGTGTCTTCGGTTCTGTAGTGCCACCCGCTAGTGGGCATTTGCCTGTTTCCGTTGTCAGTCGAAATCGCGCTAACATGGAATGATCAGGCGCGAAGGATTAGTGCGAGTCATTTGTGCTCAGGGGAGTCCTGGGGAGGTCGTGAAACCGGACGCCGTCATGTGCGTCAAGGGGGAGGGCATGCCCAACCACAAGAATCCATTCATTCACGGTAGGAACTCTCGTCCGTTTGTGGTTCCCTGCCCTGTGTCAATCTCTACGTACTCTCCACGGGTATGGCTGTTTTCCTACGTATCGCGCTCTATGCTATTGATTGCTCTGCAGGGGAGCTTTATATCGTCTTCGACGTTGAGTTCCCTCAAAAGGTGCCGGAGTCCTTGTACCCTAAGTTCCGCGAGATTCTTCCGCAGCCGGAGAGCACTCCCATGGTATATGGACACCACCACATGGGTAGAAGTAGCCCCGTGTAGCAAAACGACCTGGCACTGTGTGGTACTTGTTGCTGAGGAGAAGGTTCCGATACTGCAGCAGGATAGCGGAGAGCTGCAGATGAAGGAACTCTAATGCAGTGATGCAGAGCTGATAGTTTTTTGTGGCTGTTGTCAACAGGTTGATGAGGACGACCCCAAGATTGAGCACCACGTCTGTGAGAGTGTAACTGCCGAGGAGCTACGGGCTCGACAGCAACAGCAACGAACTCAGGGCTCAGGGGAAGCTTATGAAGAGGACGAAGATGAGGGCCATGCAGGAGGCCCGCAGAGAGTGCAGTGCCGACAACAGTAATGGCCTTCGAATGCAGCGACCTTGTGGCACAGCTTTCAGCCATGTGTTGACTTCAGCGTGGTTGGTGGTGCGGCTGGAGCCTCTGCTGTCGCACCTGCAGAATTGGAGTGCTCCACCTCCAGTTACCGCCGGTGCCAAGCAGGAGCAAAGCAGTAGTATGTAAAGTTTCTTTGGGTGCAGTTGTTTTGGTGGTCAGGTGTTGCTGGCTGAGGGGATGCCGCAGTGGGGCCCCAGGTTCTTCGGTAGTTACCGATGTGGCTGCCGTAGCAGCAGACGCCTGCATTTGTGTTGCTGCAGTGCTGCTACAAGCAGCTAGCGATCAAATGTGGGTAGCATCAAAACAGTTGGCGTTGCATAGCGGCAAAGGCCCGAAACCGCTTCGCTTTCGGGACTTTTGCCTGGATAGACGTTCATTTTCGCCCGCTGAGTTTATATATATTAGAGGCACTTGCCATACTTACTGAGCTTAGGTCTAGCTTATTGAGCTCTTCAGCTGTGAGGAGTGAGTGGATATAGCCGAGCGTATAGGGTCAGTGGGTCTTGTATCCGTTGTAAAGCCAATTTAAAGCATCTGTGGCGCTGTCTTTATGTCTAACGAAACGGCGAAACACAGGCAGAGCTCAGGGGAGTGCACCTAGTTTTTCAGGCTAGCGGATCGCCCAGGTTGCCTGTGGAAGTGCGCTGAAGCTAGCACACAGGCTGAGCAGCCAGATCCGCTTACTGTTTGCAAAGGGGGGGTTCGAAGCGGTCTGTTGCAGCGGCAGCTAGAAGTTTGTTACCAAGGGGGGATGTTCGGCTGCTTCTATCACGTGTTGATTGTCCCGTCGATAGTTGATGTTCTTGAACTCCGTAATCAGGGGGGAGAAGGCTCGCTGGGGAGAGCTTGTTTTTTACTGTATCCAAAGAATGGGGAGCCGTGGTTGCGCTGTGGTCTTGTGTATTCTGACGTCCTTTTTGCGCACGAGTGAAAGCGAATAAATCGGAATTCCACGGACGTTGCTACCTATAGAGGAATTGCACGTTCATGTTCGGGGCATTAGTTGAGTCTTTATAAAGGCAAACCTCACTGTAATACGTGTTGCACTATTTTGTGCGGAAGTAATACAAAACCGGAGCTCCTTCAACTCAGCCAGCCCCCTGCTTTGAAGGAAACCGGCACTGCCCGTAACAGCAGAAGGAACGACCCCGCTATACGTAAGTCCACGAGATTGTCTATGGAAAGAATCCCCTAACATTTCCACTGCTGCAGACACACATACTACTGAGAAGAAATGAATTCTTCCGTTGGTTTGCAAGGGGCTTGCTTCCTGTAAATTCATATTCCCGGTACGTCTATCAAAGGGCAGTGCTGCCTGTAAACCGCAGCTAAGCTCAGGAAAGGGATGTCGCTCTCGGGAATTTGTAGTCTAAAATTTCTGGCAACCTCCCTTGATGAGACACTCAGTGGAGAGCAAGACATCGTCCACTCACTTAGGTCTCTCCATTTCCTCCAATTGCCTAGTAGATTATCAGGTCATGTTCACCGTAGACGGAGACATTATGTGGTTCGCCATCCTTCTATGCTGGCGTAAGTTAATGATACCGACCATGCAATATACCCCTGCCGTTCTCATCACTGGGTTTGGCATGTCAGCTCCACATCATACGGAGAAGCCCTCCGGCCCAAAGGGAACTAAATACAAGATATATTTCTGCATGGCTCCTGGTGCTGTTGGGAATACTGCAACTAAACTCTCCTGGAGCTCCTTATGACTAAGAAAAAGCAAATAAACGTCAGTTCCTGTGGATGTCGTCAATACATACAAATATCCAAAATAGGAATAAACAGTTTCAAAAAAGACTAGCAACGGGGAGAGTGATCGCCCTAACATAATATCAACAAAGAGATTATCTGCTACCACCTCAACAGCAGGCCCAACTTGCAACTTGCAAGACTTCCTCTAAGGAAGGGCAAGAAAGGCATTAGACACCGATAGCCACAGGGGCTATGAGATCTGGAATCGGGCTTCTAGCATCCACTACATCCAAATACAGAACCTGCACACTGCACCCCATCCACGTTGACAAACATTATGATGTCATGGGGAAATGCGCTCTAAATATGCCCTTCCCCGTATGAAAATGAGAAGAATTCAAGTGAGCCACATCCATGTATTGCCGTTTTGCCTCCTAAGTCACCTCCTGTGTTTTCGAGAAGTCTTGGTGTTGTGTTTGCTGCTGCTACTGCTAGTTTCCTTGGTCTTTTCTTTCTGTTGTTCGCCTTTGGTGCGAGATTTCGTCTTTGACTTTTCGTGGGAAGATGCCTCTTCCTGCGGAAATGCTGACGATGCGCCATCCTTTGCTTCTGCTGCTGATGCTGTTGTGCCTTCGGCGTTTTCTGGCTGTTCTTTGCTTTCGTCTGCTGCCTCCTCCTCTTCGTCGTCTTCAGACTCTCCGCCACTGTTTTGGCTCTCCGACCCGTCATCTCCACTTTCGTCTGTTTGTTCGCTACCACTGCTGCCGCTTCTGCTCTTGCTGTCCGTCTCATTGCCTGTCTCATCATCGCTCTCACCGCCGCTCTCGCCGCCACTCTCACTGCAGCTGCCGCTCTCCACTACGGACCCTTCATCTTCCTTCATCTCTTGGACCTTCTTGGATTCGACACCGTTCACAGCCTCAGCGTCAGTAGCCTCAAGCTTTTTGTCCTCTCCTGCCGCTTCTTTTGTTGGCCGTTTATCTTCAGAAGGCAAGGGCTCTTTTCGCTTAGAGACGCGGCGCTCTCCTTTTCGGCCGCCTGAGCTGCGGGTGCATCTGCTGTTGCAGCTGCTGCTTCTGCTGCGGCTAACACTCTTCCTTCGGATGTCCACACCCTCGCGGCTGTCACGTCTGCTGCTCTTCCTGCTCCGCCTTCTGGTGGTGAGTTTTTTCTCCCGTTTGTCTCTCGATGTCCTTCTCAACTTCGTGCTCGAGTGCTTGTGGCTGTGTTTCCTATGTCTGTTGTTGCGTCTATCTGGTGAGGAGCTGGCGCTTCTTTGTCGCCTCTTCTTGACAACTCTTGAGTGTTTTGGCTCTCTGCCTCTCCTTCTGTCTGGGGTGGGGCTGCTGCTACGATCTCGGTGTGAGCGTTTTACTCGGGAGTGCCTGCGCCTCCTTGTGCTTTCGTGGTGGCGGCTGACGGTGCTACTGCTGCGGCTAGTGCTGACGCTGCGGCTGCTGCTGCGGTCCCTCCTGCTCCTGTGCCTGCTGCGATGCTCGCTCTTGCGACGCCTGCTGCCACTGCTGGCTCTCCTTCTTCTCTTGAGGCTTCTGCTGCGGCTGCGTGTTCTGCTCCTGCTCCGGCTGCGGCTGCTGCTGTAGCTGTAGCGTCGCCTACGGCCTCTGTAATATCTATCATCAGGGCTTCTACCTCTGTCACGGCTTCTGAATCGTCGCCGTAGGACGGAGGGAGTTGACCGCGACCTCCTCCTGGGCTCGGGGCTTCGGTCGTACATGCGTTTGCGTTCGCTGCAGATAACAGAAAAACGGAAATGACCCACCTCAGACACAACACAACGGGACACGCAGGCAAGCAAGTCCCTAGGTGGGCTCAACACAGAGCATTGTTCCGTGACAACGCTCTGACACCCAAGCTACACCAGCATCCCACAGTCACGGCAGCTCTCCTGTGCTCCACAACATGCACACTGCAACCACTGGTACTACACGATTCCCACGATGAGCTCAAAGGAGAGACGCTATCTGGGCCAGAATCTATGCCCGGCTGATTGCTCTTGCAGTTCTTGCAAGCCTTCCTCACGCGTAGATTCCAGTCGTATTTCACTGTACAAGAGCGTATTTCCCTCATTGCACCATTAAAAATCTAAACGAGAATGGATACGCACTGCCCGCCACGGGGTAATGCCCCCCCTTTGGCGGATTTCCTTACTGTACTTATTCAAGTTTTGGTTGGGTTCGTTTGAGTTGGAATGGTAGCAAACGAAGTTTTAAATTCTTAGCTCACGTAACTTCTGCTTTGTTTCGTCAATTTTTCTCCTATTGGTTATGGTAATGAGTTCAATATTGTATTGAGCATATGGACGCACAGCTCGTAGCTGGGGCCAGTAGTTTCGTTTGTTCGCATTTTGTTTTATTTCTGCCATTGTCAATGTCTGCTTGTTAACATGTACGTTTGTTCTGTTTGCTCGGTTGTCTGCATTGTTGATTGCTGCCGTTTGATTGTTGTTGGCTGCAACACCGGAATGTGTACAGCAGTCTCAGCTAGCTAAGTGCATGTCGGATTAGTGCTGCGAATATCTGCCACTCACTATTCCTCATCTTTCTTCTCGTAAATAATGCGCTGAGACACAAAGACACCAGGAATCCATGAAATGTCCCATATGCACATGATTGTGCACTGTTATACATACACCTAAAGCCGAGAAAAACGGCTGATACAGAAGTGGCGGAAATTCAAAAATAATATACTAAAGACTTGGGGCCAATTCACAAACAATGAACATAAAGGTGCTCTTGGCAAATCAACCAATTTACCATTTGCTCTGGGGTCTTCGGATCACTGTTAGCGAATTGAACTGTTACTCTGAAGCCCATGAACATTTGGTTATTCAGCTCCTTCACTGCCTTCTCCCCATCTTCCTCCTTTTCATAATCAAAGAAACAATACGAGCTGAAGAGACAAACACACGAAAGGCAAAATGAGACCGATTCCACAAGGCAAGTCTACTCTTTTGCCCTCCCAGCCCGCGCTACGTCCGTGCATCACCATCAATTGTGCAGCTATACTGAAGGCAGAAAACGCCTTCAAAGCGTTTTCTGCCTTCAAGTTTTCTGCTATAAGAAAGACGAAAATGTAGATAGGACTTACCGCGGAGTGCGTTCCAAATGATGGACAGGCAAATACATTTCCTTAACAGGGCCAATCTTGGACAAGAAATTTCGGACGTCGTTGGGAGTGGCTCCAGCGGCGACGCCTCTTAGCATGTATGGGAATCTCCGCATTGTTCTTGCAGTTTTTGCATTTTCCACCATCCACAGTTCTCCGGCCCGTGTTGGGGAAACTCTGTCCACCATTGTAAAGCCGTTGTCCTCGGATTTACGTGCAATGGAGTCCGCAGGAGTCAAGGAACTCGCTCTGCTCCGCGAAACAGAGACGGAAAGCCCGCGCCCTTGGGGCGGCGCCTTGGTGGAGAACTGCATCAGAAACTAAAGTGATAACGCCGCTTGGCGGCCCGCCGGGTGTCAAGGAGGACAAGGCAACTACAACAGCATCAGATGCACAAAAAGTATACGCACCGTGGAAAGAACAAAAAATGCTAGAAACACCCGCCAATCCGGAACGAAGACAGAGCAGCCATGGGGATCCGTGCTCGTATCGTCCTGCGGCAGAGGTCGTGCCGGCACAGCAGCTTCAATCGAGGTAAAATCACACGGTTATCTGTGCTATTTTTCAGTTATCCATAGCAATAATAGAAAATGAACCATAGCATCTCCCCCTTCGACTGAAAACATCCAGAGAAATGCACCGAATAAACCTCAGCCGTCGAACCTCCACAGGTCTTGTCACAGCCCCGCGCTCTGCTCGCATGCAGAACACGATGGCACAGAAAATAGAGCACGTCCCACTGAGTGCATGAATTGAACAAATGACCAAATTTCGCTAGAGATTGCCAGCCTATTTTCAACACTGGCTTCGTTAGACACAAAGCGCTCGCTTCGCCCTTTCTTGTAGGCGGGTTGGCGAAGAGCAAACCTGCCGCTCCCCCAGTAGCCGCCGAGGGGGCAAAAGGAAACGTAGCAAAAGTCCACCTTACAAAGCTTGAGCTCTCAGTCTTCGCTGAGAACCTGTGAGAGTTGCAATCAAGTCTATAATAGTCATGACCTCAATCCCCCAAGTGTTCCGGCGTCCTGAACACAATGGCACAGGCCCATGAAGCAGGTGCGGAAAGGAAGTGGCCTGTCCTGGGTAGCGACAAACTCGTATACTAGCATAAAATGCCCCGTCGTGGAAGTATACACGAACTGTAGCAATGTCCTTTGGCAGATTAACACTTACTTGGCACGAAAGGCGGCTTGCGGGCAAATAGGGAGACTGCGCATAGGCAGATGCTTTCAACACTTACGTGCTGTGAGTGCGTGCTACAAAGTACACATGGTTGTGCTTGCATGTGGGTCTGTCTTAACGCGGAGATGCATAGTGTGCTCACATTCCTGTTCTTAGATAATATATTCTATTCCACACTGTAAAGTGGTCGAAAGAAAGTTACCGCAGACGTGAACGTTCATAGCGTACGTGTGCTCGAAAGTAGAGTTAGGGTCTTGGCACAGGCAAACAAATGAACTTTGTATGCTCACGCGTGGGGTGTGAGCCAGGAGTAGCTAAATTCTTTGATTCATTATATTTCATTTCATTTTGGAGCGTCATAGTAGCTCAGCTGTGCCACTGAGCGGCTACTAGCGCAATATGCGGTGCGATGATATGGTGCTCAGACCCGCATGCAGGGAAGGGAAGATGTCTAAACCCTCTAGACCACATCGGCCCAACACGAGGGTACCAAGGTACCTAGTAGCCTGTCACTGCCTTTAACTCTGTCTCCTAGTTCACGGACGGCGTGAGACGAAGCTGCAAAACTCTTTGAAGTTCCAAAGCTTCCTCCCGTACCCCAGCAGAGTCGTCGAGTATCACAGTATCCATCATTCGCTTCAGGCTATCCTGAAGAACAAGAGTTGCACGACGAAGTCCGAAGTTACCTTTTTCCACTATGCTTACGAAAACGTTATGGAATATACGAAGCGGCGGATAGGGGCAAAAACTTACCGCCAAGTCCGACTGGGTGCTTCCATCCTTCTGAAGCAGCCTACCCAAAAGCTTGACCAGGGCCAATCTGCGTTAAACCCATTCCGGTAGCAGCACACTTTGGCCATTCACTTACTCTGGCCTTATCTGCACGAGCCCGGCAGGCCAAATATGCACCACTACACGAGCAATGCGGATGCATCTTCGGGGAGAACTTCTGCGCAGAACTACATACCTGCAGCATGGCGCGGGATCGTTCAGCAAGTTCTGCAGCATCGGCAAGACTACAGTTCGAAGATTTTCTCTCGTAAGATAGTCCCATATTTGCTGCAACAGAAGAAATGGAATCTTGCTAAGGGTGAGGGGCAGAACGAAAGATCGGGACACCTTGTGCCCACTGGACTTTGGGACGAGCTGCGAGCTCTATTGGGCCTAGCTCTCCTACATGTATATAGAATGCTAGGTCTTGCCGTATGAAAGCATTCTTGCAAGAAGCCACCTGCTGGAGAGCTCGCAGAAGGTGCTGCTCCAACACAGCGCCGGCTTCTGGCGTCGCCTGGTGTTGTTGGCATTCATCCTACAAAAGAAACGGCCGCAGATGGCTTATCTGTGCATGTGGTATGCCTCGCTGATAATACTGTCACGTTGGATTAGGGAAAGTCGCTCCCATACTGCATATATGTTGTCATTTAGCAAGTGACCTACTTCCGCTATTGATCGAAGAGCAAACCCGGCCTCCTGCCGGACAGCCCACGCTGCATACACCACAAATTTGAGTGCTCCAACTTTGACAATGTAGTGCTCGCAGAAAGGCCGTATTACATGGAAATTCTAAAGCCTTCAAGAGACATGTGGAGGCAAAGATAAATTTCACTCGCCAATCGTGTGGGAGTGCCATGAGGCGGCAAACAACCAACAATACGCGTTTTGGGTATATCTTAGCGAGGCATTGTGTGCCATCCGTACTTGGGGACAGAAGAAGGCCAGTGGCACGTTCCCACCACTTTTCGTCTGCCTGCTTCTTATTACAGAGTCACACAGACACCAATACAACACAGGATAAAGTGAAATTAAACAGGTGCCTAAATTCTGTCAACCGCTAGGCGTGGCTAAACTGCCAAGAGACACTTACCATAGTTCGAAGGAGCACCGGCAGCTGCTGAGCTAGGGCCGCTTGAACCCGCCAACAGTCCTCCCCGTCATCGTCCGTCGCAAATTCGCTGCTTGATATCATGGGAGCCTGCGGGAAACAGTGCGCACAGAGTCTGTCCCTAAGGGGCATGTAGCATATCTGACGGGATGTCTGCTATGGTCAAGGCTGAACAACTACAGCAGTTCTTCCTCACAGCATATTCAATGTCTGAAGAACCGAGAGAACCCAAAGATCCTAGAAAGGATACTTTCAGTTTCCAGTTTCCTCGCCTGTAGAAGATGGCACATTTGGAGATGATGATGATAGAAGAGTAACAATATTCTAGTTCCCCCTTAATGCACTGCTTCATATCGCTCAGGTCAGCAGTACTCTGGCAAGACATACTGAGCCAAGTCTGTTGCTAGCTCCAGAAACGCACGCCTCTGAGGACCAGAGGAGTGCTGGAGGAGGGCGATCACTGCATCCAAACATGCGCCTGCGAAAATACGGAGAGACAACGAGAATGTGATGTCATAGTTCAATGTCTATGCAAGCTGAACGGCGTGTCAGATGAACAGACTGGAACAAAGATATTTTCAGCCTGCAGTGAATACTATGAATGAAGCCTTTCGCACCTGGGAGTCTCGAGCCTTGATTATCACGGGTTTCTTCAGCTATTTGATGGAGCTCCAGCATCCAAGAATCATCCACGAAGGCAGTATTTCCTACGCACTGAACAGAGCCGTCAGCAAAGCACACCCGTTTTGTGGTAATTCCGCTGCAAGTGTTGGCTCTGCTTCATTTGCTCGGGATATTCGATATATGCAGCGTGAAGAGCCGTGTATGTACAACTCAAGCAAGGCCAAAATGCCCTGGGCGTGAGTTTCTCCGAATAGAAATCTGGAGTGCTCTAGTACTTGCGCTATTCGTGGAAGCAGATGTAATGCCGCTTGTTTGACCATTGGCTGCAATGCACACACAATTGAATGGACCAGAAAACGAGGCAGACTATAGACAAGCTCCCTTCTACAACAAAGAGAAATATGATGCTAGGGAACACTGCTCTCCTGGCAGCTGTGGGACACTAGCTGCAGTTATTCATCGGGACTCACAGAGCGGTCCGAAAGGAACTTGAATAGAGAAGTTGTCATGCTGGCAATTTTTTCATCGGGTTTGCTAACCTCAATGCCTTCAGCTGAAAGAGGCGCTGAGTTGCAGGAGAGAAAAGCCAGGTCTTCCAGTGCGAGGCACACGGTTGCTCTAACTCGCCACGAAGAATCGCCTGCCGCCCCCACTCAGCAGAAAGCCGCAGTTCGTTCCATACAAAATGAACGAAGCAGCCATGCTGCTACTTTGCAACGCAGCAGCAACCTGTGTAATTGTCTCACTGGAAAGCAATGGGAAGAAGCTGTTGCCTATTGCCCTGAACGCTGCTGCATTTCTCCGAGCCATCGCAGCAACTGCCGCTACTCCCTGCATCCTGCAACTTTCCTGTGGATTGTAGAGCAGTTACACGCAGCTTCAGCATATATTGGTTGTCTGAAAACGTACGTGCATTATTTTTAATGAAGCATCAAGCTGTAACCAAGCGAGGCACTGATTTTGCGTTGCTTAGTTGTCCATCTGCAACTTAAGCCCCGAAGCCCATTCAAAAACTCACGTGAAGGGATAGAGCAAATTTCTGAGTTGCTGCATACACAGCAATCATGAGTTCTCCGATTGCAGTGTCTGCACCAACCGAGTCTGTATCCGTCATGCCGTCGACAATCTGCTGCGTCGGCAATCCCCTTTGCAGCATTTCCACTTCTGCTGCAACGTAATCTACAAAAGTCGGCAGCTGCTGACCAGCCGCAAGCTGCACAGAGCAGCTTTTGTCCCCGCAAAGCGCAATGTAGGAGTCGAACAGCTTCCCCTTCAGCTCAAGCAACGTCTCCAGATTGCGCCGGTCATCTGGCGTTGCCTGCGCTCCCTGCCTTGCCAGGATATCTGCCAAGCAACGGCGCGTGCAGTGCAGTAGGGTGGGTAAAAGTCCGGCAGCCGTTTGGCGGGATGCGCTTTGTTTATCTTCGCAGAGCTCTAAAACCTGAAACGCTACCTTGTTTCCGAGAAACTCAGCAAGGTTACAGCTTAAAACGAGGGCTGCAAATGCATGGGATGCCGCTGCATGAAGCTCCTTATCTCTGTGAAGCATGATGCGAAGCAACAGGCTTGAAATTATGCTCAGACCTCCTGCCCACAAAAAAGGGCACTCCTCGCGGCCGCACCTAAAATCTTTCGGGCCATCGAAGAACTTCTTCAGTTCGTTGCAAAGTACCACCAAGACATCTTCGTTATCTTCGCCCTCCTCAAACTCTGCAAAAAAACATGTACTGTCTAAAACTCTTACTGAGGGGTCGCCAACCACAGATGTCTAGGACGGTTTTTCCCAAGGGCCAATGCCACAAGGCTTCCACGATTCACTGGACAACTCATCAAACCTTCAGCTTTGATATCTGTGTTACACCTCGGGCAGTCAACATGACGCCTGCCGCCGCCCAGAACTCAAACACCATAAGGCAAGCGTTGTTCGCAAGGCTAAGCACTCAACTTAGCACTCCCCTTCAACGACAAAATCTGAATTGTGGCGCCAAAAAAGTTCAGTGCAACTTGCAACGAGCCCAGAAGTTTAAGAAATTGCAGGGGACTAGGTGAGACGTTTTCCGGATGAGCGTCGGCCAGTGGCTTTTACCTTGCAGGAAAAGTAGAAACTCATCAACCGCACTCCCAAGTGCACGAAGAATGCGCGAAATGTTCCTGCAGCCGCGCTTCCGCGCCTGGTTAACAGTGCAGCAACACAAATCGGCAGAGTACCAGCCTGGTTGGCACGTTGCGTGGGCCATTGTCCACTGCAGAGGGTTCAACTATCAGAAAAGCGGGTTGCGTACCGTACCTCTGGTGAGTCGTTCAGAAAGTCCTGGATGAGAGAAGCAGGGTCTTTCGGCAATTGATCCCCTTCAATCCCATTAGTGTTGCCCTTTGAACTCTGTCGCAGCTCCAAGTCGGTCTCCGGTAAGACGGCTATTGCATTTTCGTCAGACTTAAGGTGGGTGCAGGGGGGATTGCTGGTTCCCCGTCGAAACAGCAAATCCTTGTAGACACCATGCCAGTCCATGCCCTCGAGTGACATGTTACTGTCGTTAACCATTGTTGCATGGGAGCTATGAGTTGCCACCGCCATATTCCCATGCAGCTCGAGAAGTGGGAAGTTCTAGTAGCTCACGGGAGCACGAACAGCGCAGCTTACGTTTGTTCGCTGCCCTCAAGTGGACGACACAGCTTGGAAACCACGGCTGGTTGGTCCTCCTAAAAGGATTCCAAGGGCACGGCCCAACAACAGCCCTGCCTGCTTGGGTGGTGTAAGTGATGGTTCATTGTGTTTAGGTGCACCAACACAAAGTTGAGAGGATGTTGTCGCAGGAGTTGGCTGAAACACAGGAGAGGGAATGGACTAGCTATTGCTTTACACAAGGCCACAATAGGGAGTGCCCACACAGCTGCTAAGCATAAGCCATGCAAAGTCCCGTTACTTGAAAATCCAATTGCGCCCATAATCCCATAAACAATGTAGTTTTAGGAGAAGTACGTTAGTAAATATCTTATTGTAGCGCTCTGAGTTGGGGCCGCCTGGGCTCATCCAGCCCCAAACTCTACACAAGAGTGTCTTGCTAGCACATTTATCCGGTGAAACATATTGATCTTCTCTCTCTCTCTGCTGTGACCCCGTTTCTTTTCCGAAATACCAATCTCATCCATATTTTGCACTATTTGATCACTCTTTCGGAGCATCCTACGCCTTGTTGTACCTACTAGTGTTGTACAGGTGCCTGCTAGATTGTCACTGCAACGCATGTCCTGGATATTATCCGAGCACTACTGTGCTACGTAGCAAGACAGACACGATGAAAGTTCATTAAATGAGACCCACCTTCGTCATCCAGGTGCCCTGAGCTCAGCAGCTCAAGCAGCTGGAGCTGAAGGAGAGGAGGCCACTTGCCGCGAGTGACAACACACAGAATGGTCCCATGTGCAAGCAGGCACAAACAAGCATTCGCATGGTTGACTGTAAGTACAGACATTGTAGAGTATTGTTGAGAGCTTTTGCATGCGTCCCGTCCTTCTACCACTTGAGCATGATAGGATTCATGAGCCCACTGCAGACCAGTCCAACATTGCACTGCCTATAGTATGTCTGGCTACGTTCTCACACAAGCAACACACTTCGTCGTATGTAAACATTCCTCTTGAGTATGACCATAGTGACATAAAAGTTCCACATGCTACTGCGCAGCCAAGGCAACCTCCCGCTGCTTCTTTGCACACACCATGGCCGCCTGCACACTTGAACTAGGGCCGTATGCTGGTCTGTGATACTGTTGACTTTGCTAGCTGGGGTTCCCATTCGGACTTCGTTGCTAAATCTAACTGAAACAGTAATGATGGGTCGTTTGAGAGGTGTGCGTGCTTGATTGGCATTGTCGCACTGTCTATAAAGATGTTGGCGTACGCAGTGTTGGAAGAAGCTCCGTGTCAGTAGCGGAGAGAAACTGCATCACAACGAACAAATAGTTGACACACAACAAACAAATTGGGGAAATTTGAGGCCTTCTCGTTTGTCTAAGGGCAGCTATTGCCCGACTGTTGGACGTGTGCCAACCTTAGGTTGTTCATGTCAACACCTGCACTAATTGCCGACGAAGCTTGGCAGCCTGTAGGCGGTCGCACAAAATAGCTTCCTGCAAACGGTCAGCATAGACTTTTTCAGTGTCCGGTTTGCCTGGTCATTTGACGTAAAAGTTTTCCGCTCTCTTTGGCCTCTACGCATTGTTCCACAAATGTTTAAGATATCCGTCTTCCTTGAAAATAGAGTTTGGGGTTACTTCGGTTATTTCTTGAGCTGTTTTACGGAGCCACCACTAGTGGTGTGATGACATCTCCACGTTGTGGTTCAGTCGACAATGTAGGCCACCCCGTTGACCAGGAAGTAAATCGCAAGTGTTCCTGCCAGACATACAGCCAACTTCTTAGGGAGGTCGCGCCCCACTGCGCCTACTGGTGGGTGCGAAGCCAGAGAAAACAAGTCACCTACGGAACTGAACGTCGTTTGGAGCTGTTTCTAACGAGACGAATATTGAGCCAATTGAGCCTGTCCGCGCCCCATCCGGTTACCGATTGCATGTCTCCGTTGGGCAGCACCGCAATAAATCACTGGTACAGAAGCTTCGAGTCCACTGCTGGACTTCTGTTTGAAACGGTTGAGGGTTCTCCATATAAGACTCTTTTGATAGCTTTCCCGCTTGAGTTCCCTACATTTTGCCGTTCATGTGCCGCCTAGGAAAATACGTTGCAGGGCGTGCTGGGAAACTTCCGTAGTCCTGCTATCGCCGAAATGCAGTATCGTGCGTAATATGATTCCGGCATCTAGCTCTAACATATACGATTTCATTTGCAAGTGCATTTCTTCTGGTGCATCCTGATGACGAAAATACAGCTATAAACGGCCCCTACATCTAGGTAACTTGCAAGTATGGGTAGTTAGCAACGGCGGAGACATTCACAAATCGGTTTTGCAAAGAACAATTTACCGGGACTGCAGAAATTGCATTCGATTCAGCTGAACGAGGTGTCCAAAATTCTGTAGCCTTCCTTGAAGAACAAGTTGGCCTGAACAATCTCAGTTGTCGAAAAGAACTGAAAGCCTCTGGCTTGACAAGGTTTTGGGATGATTGAGAAGGATTTTTCTGTGTGCATACATACAGCGTTTGATGGACCGTCTGCACTCCTCACACCTGTGCAGCAGGACGCCCTGCTGTAGGGGTGAGGTTCGTTGCTCTCGCATGCGCAATATGGACCTTGCTGTGCAACCAAGTGTAACGCGGGCTCTCAAAGAACTATCGTGAAGTGTTCTAAAGCCAAAATATTTAAAATGAGAATTCCTTAGTAGAAGATGAATTTTCTCCCCAGTATCCAGCCACCCTAATCGCAGCGGCAACAAGGGGCTGTCTTTGCGGGAGAAGAAGCGGCCTGAAAGGATTTGCAACGCACCTTTGTGCAACTCAAGAAACATGAGAGCCTCAAAATCACCCACAAGTAGGGCCACCTGGCTATATGTTTGAACACTGTAGACTGTCGTTGAGAACATCTGGCTTCTTACCGTTTGACTACTAGGGACGGGTAGGAGTTCATATGCCATGACACTCTTTGAAACATCGCCCACAGTACGCTACTGCGCTGCGACGGGTTATGCTGCAGCTCTCGTACCGCGGAATCGTACGCATTACCACTTCACCTCTCTCCGTGGATTCCCACATACTGCTAACAATTCTTACACTGCTGCTCGTCCAACCTGCACCTAATGGAGATCCTCACACCAGCGTGGCCTACCCCGTTGCAATTCCTCCTGCAGAAGTACCTTGGCCTCCTGCAGGCACCCAGGAGGTGTACCAGCATGCATTAAGTGTACATATTCATTATTAGGCAGAAATGAATATATAAATATACGTACAGCAACTATTTTTCCAGCGCGTGCGATCCCCATTCAGCACGCAGCCCGTGTAGTGTGCAGCGGTGCCCACGCTGTGCCTACCTATGACATCCCAAGACTACAGGTGGCTAATCTTCTTAGTCTATTCACTCTTGTTCCCTCTATTCACAGTTAAATTCCGAAAACATGATCTCGCCTCCGGTTATATCCAGGCCAGTCATCCCCTGGGTAGATAGGTCTGGTCCTTCAGAACGCCGATCAGACACCTCGCCTTCAAGATTCCGGGCGAGGGCAAGCCCGTGCCTAAGTACGGCTCCCATCAAGCCCCAAAAAACTGGGTGCCTAAGCGGAGTGCTGTAGGTTCAGCCTGAGCGGCTGGCCCGGCCCCCTTATAGTCCCCTTATTAGGTGACTTCTCTATAAGTAATGCTTATAACACAGCTATATTTAATAATATTAACTTCTCTTCCATTTATTAAGTCTCTAGACTTCAAACCAGGGAGCCCACTTAGGGTCTAAGTACTGCGTCGCTCAGGCTGGCGCGGTCGGCTAGATCATTAGGCTATGTCTGCCTGACGGTTCCCCAATCCCTGGGATATTTAGTAGTATTAATTCCTCTCTTGACTAATAAAGTCCTAATTCCCTAAATATCTTATAGTATTTGTGTCCTCACTTGTCCTTAGGCTACTGGAGTGCACACCTGAGACGCATTGTAGTGCCTCTGCACTACAGCCCGCCAGCCCCGGCTCCCACGGTCCTGGTCCATTTTAACAGCGTAGCTCCGAGATGTATGCGTTTTTCGAAATGTTTCTTGCCTTTTTGTTACAAATGTTCTTATTTTCCAAAAAGTATTCACAGCCCCTCCTGTCCTTTAATCCCGCGTCGTAGCCGGGCACTGCACGTTCCGCAGGCGTCGTGCTACTCCGGTAGTTGCGTTTATACGTTTTATGCCCTTTCTCTGTCAGGAAGTTGGAATATATGCTCTATGCTTGTATGATAAGCTCGTTGGTGGTTCTGTACATCTCAGATAAGCGGCACTTCTCCCGTTGCACACCGGACCTTTCAGGCGGGCATGCATGAGCGGAGGAACTGAAGCTCTTCTCGGGAAAAGATGTGCTCCTCTTCAATACAAATTGATGCTGGGCAGCACAGCTTTTCAGCAGGGGCTGGGCCATCCATAACCGTATTCTTCTGACTTCACTTGGTTAGCGCGGTTGAACAGCAGCGGGTGGTGCCTTTGGCAGGGCGGACAGCAAAGGTTCTGCAAACAGATGTATTTATCTTGTCTGTAGGGCCAGTTTGTTGACATTTTAGAAGATTTCCTGTCTTGCGTGTGCGGTGCCCACTGCAATGAAAACGGGGTTGCGCCGCTATATTGTAGCAACTGCCTAGTGGCCCGATCTCCCAGGAGGCCACGAGTGGCTTCTTTAGATTAATCACAATGGAGGAAACGCCCTCGAAGGATACGCTGGCCGAATTATATCCACAATGCTTGTCACTTAGGAAGGAACTAGACTCTCTTCTCCGGACAATATCTTCCCCAGCAGCTCCATTGCACCAAGGGTGCCGATCCTTTGCTGGTGGACCTGTAGGCCAGGAAGGTGCGGTAAAGGGCGCAGAAGCACCTTTTGGGGGCTGGGAAGTTCGAGGAAACGGGGGTTCGTCGGTGGCGAAGCTGCAGCGATTCTCAGCCCTTACACGCCAGTTTTGCATTCTTGTCCTCAGTCTACAAGATGCACTCGCATCGGCGAAGTCTGGCGGTTTATCGCGGAATATGCACTCAGTGTGGGAGCGAAGGATCCAGGACATGGTGGCGGATGCGGAAAGTTTCAGAAGAGAAGCAGAAAGCCGCATGAATCTGGAACAGCAGCGGCTCCAGGAGGCAATGCGGGACCGAAAAGCACTACTTGGTCAAGCTGACCGCAGCAAGAGATGGGGGGACATGCGCAACGCCGAGCTTATGTACGCTAAGGAGAGGGATCGTCTACAGGAATCCCGAACAATGCTGGACTCGGTGCTGTCTCAAGGTTGGAGTGTTGTCGGGCAGCTCGTGTCGCAGAACGCTGCACTCAAAAGTGCGCGGCGGAAAGTGCTTGATATGGCCAGTAGTTCGGGAGTTGCTTCTACCTTACTGGGAGCGGTCGGTAGAAGGCAGCAAGGAGACAAGTGGCTAGTGTATGGTGGAATGATCATAACCCTCATCTTTTTTTTCGTAATTTACAGACTGGTCCATCATGGTAGCATCTTCGGTTTTTCCTCTGTGACGGAAGAGGTGGACGATGCTACCATTCGTGAATTCACTCCTTCCCATTAGGAGTCAACCCATTTTTCTTGAATAATGTGACGATGAAGCCTCGCATGCGACTCGAAAAGTGCGTTGGACCATGTTGATCTATCGAACTCACCGGTAAGAGCTATCCAGACCTTCCCAGCCTCACGTTTCATTGATTAAATGTAGCATAAGAGGCTGAGGCATGGGCTGCCTCAAACAGTGCTATCACAGCTACCGACATTACTCTCTTGCATGAGGAGCACTGAAGAATATGGCAGGAGACAAGCGTTGTACCTTACCATGTTCTTCAACATAGACTGCAGAGGCATACGGCCTGCGGGCAGGTTATTCTCTGGAAACGCACAGAAGCGTCGACCTCCACATTTTTGCGGTCGTACTTGGTGTACTACCGAAACTCTTCGCTAATTTCTTGTTTGTTTCTCAGTAGCGTTGTATGCACAACATTCTAACGATAGTATCCCTGTCCTACGTGGTCAGCTATAGCACGGCAGGCCCGATGATTCATTGGATGCATCCTGGGAGAATATGTGTGTCTCGGAGTGATTTGTTACACAGCACATTAGTCGTTGTCTCATGATATTAGATGCCACAAGGTGAGATATTAGTGGCAGACGCTCCACTTCAGCACAGGCGTAGCAACTGCCGTTGATCGTTGAGGGGATATGCGCATCTCAGATTGCCATTATAAGGACGTTTTGCTCAATTTTCTTACTTAAGTGGGCATGCAGTCATATCTTTTACTTGCGGATACCTTCTTGCGCCGAGAAAATGCCTATTCCATCTGAAGGGGGGGAGCCCATCGTCTGAAAGCGCTTGCTGCTGACACGGCCTTCGAATGAATTACCATGGCTTTAAGCATGATATTTGACGTCTAAACAACAGATTAACTCTCTGGATATTTGCATCTTGTGTGTATCTTGCGGCGAAGGGAAATCCGCGACCTAGCAGGGGAGCAGCTGAGACACGCACGTGGAGTCATGCGCAGAGCGTGAATGCACGGGAATTATGGGGCCAAAGCAAAAGCAACAATTCCTACATGCTCTTACGTGCACTTTACGAGTGCCAAAGATTTCGAGATGCAATATTTTTGCTTCTTTCATAGGCACTTCCACCTCCCTGACGGCGAGCGACCGCTCAACCTTGTGCACAAGTAGCGGATTCTGCAGCTAGGCGCATGAAATGGTTACAAAGTGAAGCTTTAATGATGCCAAATTGACACATTTGAGATATGTTGATTGCTACAAAATTTTGGGAAAAGCAGATCAGGCTGCAGACATTTGGCGGTCGTCACCAGTGACTGGCACGAACAGGACGGTGACCCCACAGATGTTAGTTTCCCAATGCGCATGCATGATTCATTGTTTAATTCATTTTGAAGCGCTCAAGCATCACGACAAATTGGTTTTATGTCGTGTGTTACAGCGATATCCTCCCCATGTTTCTCAAATATTTCATCGTAATCTCCTGTAGCCAGTCATGTGGTTGACTGGATGGAAAACACTGCGTTTCCCCGTCAACGAATTTTTAAACAGACATATTAGCAACAAAGTGACTTTAGAAATGGTCAGAGCTTTGACAAAGAGTACATGCTGGCAACTTCCGTTACGAATGGCCTTCCGCTTTTCGTCCCTTGCGCTCTGCCTGGCTGTTCTTGGAGGGTACTCACCTTGCACGGCTTTCCGCGATGGTTCCCATATGAACGTTTCATTTGAAGAGCATAGAAATGGAAGTTATACTATTCCAGCAACCGGACAAGGAGTCGAAGTTCCTTTTCCAGAGCCCGTGGACAGGCCGAGAAGATCCAGTGGCCCTCTTCGTCCCGTGGTTGCAGGACCTGCAAAAGCCCACGACGACAATTTCCATGCAGAAGAAGAGTACGAGCATCAAATACAGCTACATCCATTTATGACTCCAGTTGAATCACCTGAAGGGTTGCCCGAATGGAGAAGAAACCTTCGCTTCGGGGAAGCCACATATTCGCCGCAGAGAACGCGCGCATTATCGCAAACTGATAGAGGTGAGCGCAAAAGAAATGGCCGGCAGTTCATGAATAAAGATACTAACGAGTGGGAAGTTGGAGGACGCTTATTATCGGAGTCCCCTTCCTTCCGGGCGGGAAGAGTGGACTTCCGCGAGGAGTCGCTCCTGAGCAGCTCGGTGGACGGCAAGCCCGAAGACCGCAGCGCCAGCACTGCGAATATAGATGAAGAACAGATGGACACAAGCTCGTCTGTAGATGAAAATACAGATTCACGGGTAGTCCTTGAGGTGACACGCAAAATGAAAAGCGTGGACGGCAGTATATCCATACCGTCGCCATTGGCCCACAGTTTGCTGTATCGAACTAGAGATATAGCTAATCCCCTTACATTTGCCAACTTCCTTGCAGAAGGCCAAGAATGGCTCATTCCAGGCACAGGGAGCCTCTGGGAAGGCCTTGGGCGCCACGTGGATTCACTTTTTTCAGGGCTGTTCTTGAAGACAGCCAGCGTTCTACCCAACTACAAGCGTAACGTGATTATCTGCTACAAGGAGTACAAGCCCTCTATGTGGATAGAAATGTTTGGCCAGAGAAATCAGTTTCTTCGGCAACTTGCTTCTCTCTTCCAAGGTACGCACCGCATGCAATCTGTGTATCTTCGAAATCTCGGGATGGAGATATTTGAAGTGCCTCCTCTCTGGCGTGTACGTGAATTCATTGCCACGGTGCTGAAGCTGGATAAGTACGTGAGCCACGTATATACAGATCACCTGGTAAGTGACTTTGACAACGAACTCCAGGTGGCTTTGCAAGACGATTCTTCACAAGAAGTAGTAGATTCAAAACATAGGAAACGTCAAGGTGATGCCAGTAGTTCAACTGATTCAGGGCAACACTATGCAACGAGCAAAAACAAAGCACCGAGCCGCAGACTGGAGGTCATGACAAATGACCCCTTTACGTGGCAGCAGTGGGCTATTGTGGACAGCGGTCCTACTAGATGGGGCATCGAAGCTCCAAACGCATGGGAGGTTTGGACAGGTAACTGCACCAACTTCAAAAACTGTAGCCATGCGAGTGGGGAAGCGTATCACAGGGTGTTTAGCCCAAGTGTGAGTCTAACTTCCTACAAGCTATAAGATTTGTTTGCTTCTTTTTGAGTGTATGAGGTTCGTCGTAGGTCAGGGGCTCAAACCGCGTTTCACAATTGCCGTGATAGACAGTGGTGTCGACTACGAGCACCCTGACTTGCAGAATCAGATATGGCGGAACCCTGATGAAATATGTGGAAACGGCATAGATGACGACTTCAATGGATTTGTGGATGACTGTATAGGCTGGGTACGCTGGGTCATCCTACCTCTCTGGGGCTCTGGAACTGAGCGTGGATGCAGAAAGAGGCAGAGTAGTTCGTTGAACTGTTCCAAGAAACACTCGAATTGAATTGTCGCTTGCGTTTCCATGTGCGCTGGTTCAGGACTTCGTAAAAGGCACCAACTTACCTATGGATGATAACGGTCACGGTACCGCTTCCGCGGGAATCATTGCTGCAGAGCCAAATAATGGAATAGGTCTCACTGGGGTGTGTTGGGGCTGTGATATCTTGGTACTAAAAGCACTAAATGAGGACATAAAGGGGACCATCAGTGCGTTTGCTAGGTCCCTGGACTACGCGATTGGAAAAGGAATAATGTTGTCAAACAACAGCTATGGGGGGAGAGGCAGCGGATTTAGAGGCCTTCAAGAGGCTGTACAACGAGCGCGGCAGGCAGGAATGATTGTTGTCGCCGCTGCAGGGAATTACAATGGCAATAACGATAATGACAAGTGAAGCATTTCACTCGTAATCTGTGCCCATTTCAGCATTAGCTTAACCACTACTGGCGGGATATATGAATTTACGTGATCGTCCCCAAGTACTGATGTTTTGACATTTATGTTGTTGACTATGGTAATGCTTGCGCAGGCAACCTGTTTTCCCCGCATCATATGATCTAGACAATGTCGTCTCCGTTGCAGCGATTAGCCGCAACGGCCAACTAGCACCATTCAGCAGCTATGGAAAGAAGCAAGTTGACGTTGCTGCTCCAGGTGCTAATATAATGACGACTTCTGCTAGACGAACGTATAGATCTGTCAGTGGGACAAGCTTCGCCGTCCCGATGGTGACGGGCACCATTGCTCTTCTATGGACACGCCGTCCACAGTTGAATTACCGCCAAGTCATCCACCGTCTACTCCGAAGTGTAAAAAAGAATCCTCACCTTGAAGGTGGGTATAGAATCTCACTTGAAATAACCTAAAATGTTGGGAAGTTTATTTTCCCATCTTAAGCTTCTCTGGCATTCAGCAGGTTGGAGCAAGTTTGAAGGGTCCTAGCAGAAAGCAAGCACGTCCTATTTCTAGCATATTTTACCTTAGTTCCCGATCGTATCCACCTAGACATATGCTGCTCTCTCTGTTCGTTGCATTACAGGATTGATTGCCACAGGAGGCACTGTTGACGCCTGGAGCACACTGGCAAAAGAAGACATTCTAGACCCGTATGCCGCCCTTCCCGTTGTTCCCATGACGTGTGCTTCAGCTTCATGCAGTCAATACGCGACCTGTTCAGATGCGCAAGGAACAGCGAAGTGTGTGTGCAATCGTGGATTCGAAGGAGACGGAAAAGTGTGCAAGGACATCGACGAATGTATTTTTAGTCCATGTGGGCCTGCATCCGTGTGCGTTAACACAGTCGGCAGCTATCAGTGCAAATGCCGAAAAGGATTCCAGCAGACGCAGGAAGCGTGCATAGATATCGACGAATGCAGCCTCGGCTTGCAAAACTTAATCCCACGACCCTGTCCACTGCAAGCAGAATGCCACAATTTCAGCGGAACATTTGATTGCATCTGCCCAAGGGGAACGGCATGGAATGGTATCTCAGGACCTGCAGCACAGTGTCTCAGAATAAGTAAGGTGCTGTAAAGGAGAACGGCATTATTATAATTTTGAAAAGGATACACCGCTCTCTCTATCCCTTCACCTTTGTATGAAGACGACTGTGTGTTTGGTAATCTGGGGCAGGCTTGCTCGAGTAGTTCTGCTAAATACCGTAGTACACTCGGGGCCGTATATGCTCAAGTGTCATGGCAAAGCTTTAGGGTGCTGCGCTCTTATTTTCTCAGACTCCCCAAATCGGGGGCCATGCGCCAACAATGGAGGCTGTGGGGTCAATTCTCTGTGCCAAGCGCTTTTCACTTCAGAGGCAACAAGGAAATGCAATTGTGTCAATGGGTTCAAGCCCCTGCGCTTAGGTAACCGGGAGATCACGGCAGCCATGGCAAATTCACAAATGAGCTCATTCGACAACACCGTATGTATCCGCGAAGATATCCTACCAGAAGAACAAGCTTACTACATAATAACCATGCACAGGGAACGGCTTCAGCACAGGCGAATGTCCATTTCAACACAGGCCGCACCAGGATTAGGTGTGCCTATCAACATGCAAACCACAACACACTATTCGGAGCACCTTCGCCCTGGATTCCCTACCCAGAAGAGTCTCAACAACGTGCCTGCAGCGAACATCCAAGTTCCATTTTCAGTCGGTCTGTTAAAGAAGGCATGGGATTCAGGCAACACTTCCCCAGTTCAGAGTCTGCCAGCTTCCCCCCAGACGAGCATGCCTCACTACGCCACAGCCCCACCAGGCTTCCACACAGCAGCTTCCAGCCAGACACCAACTTTGGAGAAGCCAAGGATGGTCCCTCTGGCAAGGAGCTCCTGTTTGCTTGGGGTGTGCCTCCGGTAGTGCATCAAGAACCAGAGCCGCAACTAGCAATCATCGCGTCAGTAAACTCAGTGCCACCCACTATCGGTGCTGAGGAGAAGACAAAGCAGAGCTGGGGCAAGGGGAAAGTACTAGCAAGCATCTTTGACAGTGACTCGCCCGAGCGATGCATCTCGACGACTAAACAAACAAAGCTCCAAAACCATGGTGCCCTTCTTGAAGGCAGCATCGTCTTCCTCCGTCACACACAGAGTGGATCAAGGAAACCGTCGGGCTGCCTCCCATTTAGCCCCATCGAGTACTACAACGTAACGCTTAATTAGCTCATATCCCATGTGGGCCTTAAAAGATTTGTTCAGTTGTTGCGCTTCAACCGAAGAGTGAGCAGTGAAGCCAGTACGCCAGTCAGGACAGGTTCCCTCCGTCAGCAGTGTTGAGCCCCCGTGACTTTTTTCATCTGAGTACTACACTTCAAAGCTATACTTAATTCATTTTTTGGGAGATTTCTATGGAAGTAAGGCGAGTGTCCGCTGTGGCCGAGTTGTCCTTCAGCGGTTGCAGTCTGCTCAATAAGGACAACGGGGGTACCTAGTCTCATTCAGCCCCTTGAATTTTGTCGTCAAGCAGACGAAATTAGAGAGGGAACGGGCATGTCCAGTGTGCAGATCAACGGTGCCAACAACGGTACAGGCGTCGTCGTCGCAGCAAGTGTGCCAAAGACGCCGAGGACAATGGCTGCATGTCATCGGTCACCTTCGTATTAGTGTATATTTACTATTTTTGAATGTTCAGTATAACTGTGTAAGACATTTTCTCCCCAGCAACAACGGGGTTCACAATTGTCTGCGTCGCCACCGAGGGTCACCGTTTCACCGCTGGTTGCCGGCTCTAGCCTGTTGGGAACCATAAAGAAACTGAGAAAATTAACAAAAAAAGGGATGGAATTACAGCAGTTATATGCAGGAGGGAGACCTTAGTAAAACTCCAGCCAGCAATGCAGCGCTCCCTTTCCCACGGCGGTTAGGAACTCAAAGCATGCTAACGCGCTCGGGTCACAACGGTTTCTTTGCAATTGCTTTTTACGGGGGCGCATCCTTGTGCAACGAGAAGACACAAGTACAAATATTTTCATCAAGTTAGTAACATTTTTGTAATATCAATAACGGGGGGCTACGCCTTTTCCGGAGCTCCAAATGGATTTTTGGGATGCTAATCGATAGCAATACGTTGTACAGACAAGGAAAAGCAAAGTGCTGTCTGTAATCTGCTAGTGAAATATTTTATTTTTCTTAACACTTGAAGGGAAGATGCCTGGAGTACGTGTGCAACGGCTTATGCGGCTAATCGATGAGTCGCGCCCATTGCAGCATGGATCCGATGGACACGCGTCCATAAGAAAACTTGAAATAGCGTACCAAGAGATATGCTTACTGGCAGAAACGTCCCTTATGGACCTCAATGCTGGTAACTGCTCATAAAACAGAGGGCGAAACTAGCTGCCCCCATTTCTTGCTGCGTAGTCTCAGATTTGCCCCCCAGTAGAGAGCTGCATAGCCCGTAATGGCTTTGTGGGCTTGAGTTCTAGTCTTTGCGAGGTATGGTTTCCTACTATTATTCTGCGGCGAATATCTGTATTGTGTCGCTTCTACCAGACATGATTCTTACCTTTTGCTTGCAAGCTTGCGCCCACGGGGACGAGGAGAAAGCAAGACACGTTTTCCAGGTTGGTCACCGACAAAGAAAAATCATCTGACAAGGCTAATAAAAATCTGTTTTTTGAGGATCAGGGTACCACAGAAAGGAGCATTGCCTCTCCGGGTGAAACCCCACCCCTGTATTGCTTCTGCATTGCCATCAGCTCTTCGATCAAGTCGGAATACGGTCCCCGCGTACAAAAGCTTATGGGCTTCTTTTCCGGTACGCTGGGCTTCAAAATATGCCTACATGTGCTGCGTCAATGCACCTTCAAGAGGAAACGAGCAGATAGTAGTGTATGTATCGATTTGCATGGACTAAGCACAATAATAGGGTTATTCGTACTTCACCAAGAAGACAGCAATGCTGGAACTATTTGCTTTGCAGGGCGTACCTGGAAACCAAACACACGCAACCCGTTGCTATGAAGGGGATTGTTGCTGTAGACCAGCACGTCGACGCTCTTGCTTTTGTAGAAAAGGCTCTTGCAACCGTGGATGAAGTTACGCAGTCAGTCCCGTACTGAGGCCAAATTAGACAGAGTTTATTGAAACTTTAGTTTCATTGTGATTAAAAAAGCGTAGCGGATTTGTTTCTCGTGAGCTTCGCAGTCATGGTTATGGAGATCCCACGAGCTTTGCGACCAAGCGGCATTCCCTCGATATACCTGCACTCTGCGCACTGCTAAACAGTTCTTCTCATTTGGGGGTGCATGTGCTGACAGAATGGACAATTTTATCCAGCACGCTGTTAAAGCTGTTCTAGTGCTCCTACGGCCATTTGTAAGACCGTTTTGGGCTCGCAGCTTTTGCAACAGCTTGGAAAGGATCTTACCCTTTCTCCAGTAGGCGATTTAACGCCCCCTCGTAGAAGGCTAGCAGCTATATGCAGGCCATCGCACGAGGTGAATTGGTATTTCAAAAGGTGGCGTGCTTTTATAGCCCTTTCTATTATAGAGGGAGTGCTGTCGCAGACTTCAAGAGGCGCGGTCACCAGCAAAGACCTTAGGAAAGCCTGCCAAAGGTGCCCAAGCTACGGCCCCACCCGCATCTGGAAGCCAAGGGCAAGGAACTTCCTGTAGAACCACTAATATGGCTGGATTCAGACTGATCGTATCGTTTCTCCTTCACGCTGCTGTTTGTTTTGAAGATGGAGGCAGACGTGCAAAAACTCAAAAGGTCAAGTGAAGAGCCTCACTGCTGCAGCCTGTACTTGGATATGCCACAATAACAATATATAGAAAGTCTGGACTGACCCTTTCTGAGTAGCTTCACCTTCGCATAGCTGACCGCATCAGGAGTGGGGAATGACTGAAGCTGCGGTGAGCGCTTTAGGCCATTGAAGATGCGATGCAACTGTGTGTTGAGGCCAAGGCCGCCCACTGGCACTCACCGCAGTGGCATAAGCACCATCACATTTTGCAGCGCAAGCTAGCCATGTAAGCCATGGACGCCAGACTGTTTTTTGTAGTTGCCTTTTAGTGGCTGTTTGCCAGTTACCCAACATGATGAAGCTCACAAAATGGGGCTGTACCATCTTTTAACGGTATGCCGTGGGTGAAAATCGACGACACTTTGCGGTTTGTGATATATTGAAGGATTCGTGGTGGTTTGGGCGGAAGGCAGGATGCAAGTGGACCAATCCAGACGAAAGTGGAGTTTCCATGCTGGGCAGGAACAGTGGAGACGGCAATATCAGTAGGCCGACTTGCTGCGAAAACACCGCAAGCATTTGGATCGGCTGGATCGCAAAAGGAGAATGCAGCAGGTAATAAAGTTGATCCTGCATGTAATGACCTATTGAAAGCATGGACGATTTTGGATCCACAATTGCCACAAGTTGTTCGGAGCGCACTTTTTAGCGGGGGATCACCAGAAGATGTTGATGACCAGATTTACACGCTACAAAAGTCTCTCGAGCCTCCTCGAAGTGCTGGGGAAAACGAGCACTTTGCCGGCTACTTAGTTGCCAAGGCAGCCCTTGCACAACGTTATTTCCCCTTGGCTAGAGTTATGACGAAAGCGTTGGAAAGGTAAGGCTGTTCCTGTGTTTAGGCAGCTAGCGAACCCACCTCACGAGGGAACCTGCCCAGCGGAAGGATTTTGCTGGCCCTAGATAGCAAGGGGGGAGGCTGTTGCACATGTGGAGAAGGATGCTCTAGCTTGATTGAACTTTCTTCTCTCCTAGGTGGCAGGCTGGCACCACGAGCGTCACTGTGCTACAGCGGATGTTGGAGACCGAGACAGAGCTGCGCCTGCGTGAATTTCTCTGTGAGCTCGGCCATCAGGAAGGTACAGGCTTTTCTCCTCCAACTGACTTTTCTTTGCTCTCTGCCTCGGCTCGCGAGCCATGCCCAATCCCGGATCTTCGAGTGCAAGCCGTCCGTCGCCTGGACGAATGCCTTACTGCTCTCGCTCATGTTAGTGAGAATGGAGATCTGGTGGAAATTTGTGTTGCTACCATGTGGAACATCGCAAGGCCGTGCCTAGGTCCAGACACGCGGCGCCACATTTATAGAAGCCTGCAGAAGGTAGGCACAGAGAACTTAAAGTTACACATCGTTGGAGTTCTTTATTTCCCCAATGTGAAATTTCTGCTTCAGCGATGATTGCACAAACCCGTACGTATTTTTCGCTTAGGCTAGTAATGCACTGGATCGTTGTCAATCAAGCCACATGTCACTTCGAGTGCACCTTTTCCATCAACTGGCACAGTGCGAAGTTGAAGAGGAACTTTTTAAGGCAGCGCAAGCAACTGTAAACAGGGCGCTGAAAATCGAACGCAGCTATTGTCCTGTTGTCTACCACGGAAGTGAACTAGCATCAGCCAGTCAACCTGCTACAAGTGTGGTAGATAATCCAGTTTTGGCAACTACTTGCGCTCTCGAAAGCGACTCAAGCCTCACGCAGCTGGCGAACTCGCGGCCGCTAAGTTTATCGTTAGAAAGAATGGCCCAGGCAGTCAGCCAACTAACTGTGGCAGTGGGACACTCTAGTCCTTTGGAACAGATTCAGAACATAGCGTTTGGCGGCAGGCACGATCAACCAATTGGCGAGATAATTGAAATTGCAGAAGACCTTCGCCGAAGAGCACTTCACCTGCTGGCTGACGAAGAGAGCAAAAGCTGTAGCCGCCAGCTTCGGGTGGAGCCACACAACATAAACAAGCGAGCGGCCGGTTCATCACAACAAGCTAGGGCTTCTGTTCATGCAAAAAGAATGCTCTCCGTGCAAGGGGAAAGCATGGTTAAAAAGATAATAGCATCATACGGTCATTTAGTCGACCGCGCGCAAGAAGTTGGGGATGATCGAGCCACAGAGAGAGCTGCAACTGTGCTTCTCTCTATGGTCCATGGAACTGAAAAGTGCTTGGATCCAACAGCGCTCAATTTCGATTCGCACGAAACGATGGCTCCCGTGGACGTGCGCGTACGGCTTACGCCGCCGCTCGAAACTGAAATGGCTGTGAACATCATCGAGGCTGCCTACGCTCTGGTATGTATCTTTTGCAGACAGCCATGTGTCCCAGCAGTGTGTCTGTCTGTGGACCTTCATTCAAGGCATCGGCGTATGGCGTTTCCCCGTAGGCGCTATGCTGCAGCAAGCTGAAGGCATCAAGCAGCTCCGGGAATGCGGAATCTGGTGCCAATGGGCCAGCATTTGAGGAGAGCGATAATTTATTAGAAGAGCCTCCCCTGCTGTCCAAGGAAAGCGGCAGTGGCAGTGCTTCAGTCATAAAGCCAGGCGATAATGTGCTTTCGGAGGAGCAAAGAGTCCACAATCTACTTTTGTTTGGGGCGAGGCTCAGGTAGGTGCGCCAATCCAGTGTTAGTGCGTCGGTTGCAACTGGCAACCAGAACCGCAGGAAACCGGACTCTGCGTCTCTATTGAAGGAACAATTGCATGTGATCTGCTTAAATTATCTGCATCTAAAGTGGTTGCTGGAGCAAATGATTGGCGTGTTGCCTACAGCGACGCATTTGGGCAGACATGGCTCGTCTTCAATGCAGCAGTCCACGCATGGAATATATACAGGAGTTTGCTCCTAAACAGTCCAACAGAAGCGCCGGGGATAAGCCGACTGCTGCCAGTTCTAAAGGAACTTTTTCACCGGCTTTTAGAGCAACCGCCAAATACCTGCGACGTTGTCGTGCATACTTTCACCGAATTCTGTTCCCGCTCTGCCCTTGTAAGAACATTCATTTTACCCGCGATCTCCTAACGTACTGGCACATTCTTTAAACCATTCCATGCTGTAGTGCGTCAGTGGCCAAATGTCAGGCACTTCAAGACTTTGGATTGGTTCAAGAGTTCTGCTCAAAGGTTCCACTATGGCACACCTCGAGCAGGCGAAAGATTTTCGGTGCGTTGCTGCAAGATATCATGCTGCAAGAAATACCACAACCTATTCTTTCCCGGCTACTGAAGACGTCTTCTAATGGGCTTCAAGAGACTGCGGGGGGACTGGACAAATTATCAAAAGGAAAACAGACAAAGGGGCAGGCTCCAGGAATGGCTGAAAATGCATCAATGCCCAAGCTTACTCCAGATATTTTGGTGCTCCTCCAAATCGAGGTGCACACGCCATTATACCCACCCGGATCACCCAGGCCCCGTTTGCTACTGGATGAATCACACTAAGTACCGACTGCTGTGATTGCCTGTTAATTTCTTGACGCATCAGAAAGTTGGTTTGCACGTTGCATGCTAATTATGCGCTGTTGAATACTATGCAGAAGGCAATTTTGGAAAAAGAAGCTTCAACCAAGGAACAACTATTATTGCAGTGTGGGGATTTGCTGTGGTCTGCCGCCACTACCATGGCTGCACCCACTTCTGCGGGGCCAGCCGAATCGGTTGAATTGCTGAAGACGGAGCTGTGGACTCGCCTTGCAGCTGCATCGCTCTCTGTAAATTGCACAACCGTCCAAGGTCTATCAGTAGCTTACGCCTTCCAAGCGCTGGGGGGAAAGTGTTGTGCAGTGCCGTACAAAATTCCTTCCAGTGTAAGCTATCAACTGCAACTCTGGAGGGGCGTGGCACATGTTCTGGCCGGTTTAGCTCTTCTTGCTACAGACTTTACGACGTGAGTAACGGCAGCTGCTTACTACTTGTAAATCTTAGATGACAGAGGCTGACGTAGGCATCAGTCTATCAAGGTGAGTGGGAGTATGAATGTTTGCGGTGGCAGGGAAGGAAACATGTGGGCAATACGCCACCTGCTTCAGGCTTGTGAATACGGGAAAGAGGCTAATTGCGTGTCCTTGCTTCTTTTTGCCGCAAAGGCACTGTGGAATGCGGCCGCACCAGTATTGGGCGACGAGCGTAATGGGGAACACGCGTATTTGGCAGTAAAAGCCGCTCTATACACTATCCCCACCAGTTATCGTCCTGTTGCGACAACTTTGATAACTCGCATGTGCATGGGACTCCTTTGGTCCCTGCCTTATGCCAGGAAGTGGGATGAACTCTTCCGCACCGCCGAAGCTGCCGTGCTGCTGGTGCCCAAAGTGCTGCACACAGCCCTAATGAAATTGCAGATCCTCGCTCTGACCCGCACAGAAATGCCTGATTTGTTCCCTGCAGTATGCAGTCTGGCAAGAAGCGAACCTTCGAGCGAGGCTGACTTGTTACTGTGCTTTGCTCGACTTGCTCAAAAAACCTCTGGAGTTACCTCCATGGTAATGGAAGCTTACGAAGGGGCTCTCAATTTGTTTGAAAACGATAAGGACCCCCACGGAATCGTTGTCCACTTGGAACTTGCAGAGTGGCTTCTTAGCATGCGACGCTCCTGGGCAAAGGCCAGTTCCCATATTCGTGCGGCGTTGGATCTGCTTAAGAGAGTGGAATGCCGACAAGAAGTGAGCAGCAGGAAGTAGAGCTACACCAGATCCTGCAGTCAGTGGGTAGGTGTCTGGTGGTGCTTGTACACATACTTAAATGTCAACAGCCACTTGTATTTTCAAGTGTATTTGAGATGTGTGCAGTGTTGGTTACCACGGGACAACCAAGGGGCAGACTCTGACGCTCAAACAGATGCAGCAGCATCCTCAACAGGCTTTATGAGCCTAAGTGGCACTGTAATTAGGCTTGACCAATTGCTTCTACTGCAAGCACAGGCTCTCAAGCTTTTCTATTCTCCCGACACATCAGAGACTGCCGATGCGATGCGACAAATTGTCAACCTCTCTTCTGAAATGCTTGAGCCATCTACTCGCAGCCCCTCAGAAAAGGCTAGTGGGCAAGATGGAATTATTGGAGGGGAGGAAAACGGTACCGTCGGGTCTCCTAAAGACCACGCAGAAGTAAGTGCATTTCCTAGTGCCGAAGATGCCGCTGAACCAAAATTCCACTTAATATTAAACTTCTTTATTGCATCACAGTCAGGCCCTTCGAGAAGAAGAGAGCTACTACAAGAATCTTAGCATAAGAGACTACATCGTGCCGAGGTGGGCTTTTTTTCTAGGGATTCAAATTTGGATTTATGTCATTGCAACATGCGACTTGGCAGCTTGATCCTTGGGCGTCCACAAGCCTATACGAGCCAATTCGTCTCGGGCGTTTCGGTTCACGCGGGAACTGCTCAACTGCTGCAGAAGGCTCATGGATAAAGAGGGCCGAAAGAGGGCAATCGGGAGATAAAGGAGACCTGGCATCTCTCCTGAAATCTCGAGCGCACAGGAATGCGGGGACTATCCGGGATACCTTGCTGTGGTCCACCAGCCTCACTTTAGCATTCCGCCTTCTGAGTAAAACTGAGGCCCACCTATTTGAGCTTGGATTGGAAGCATGGGCCCTCCGGCTCACGAGACTACGAGCGGGCGTTACAGAGGCATTCCTTTTGTTGTCCCTACAGTCAAATAGTTCCACATCTTGTGTTAGTGGGACTGGGAGCGTGCACCCAGCGGTGTCGCTTCTCGAAGCTTCGTTCAACATCCAGGTCTTCAGAGGAGCTGTTGCGTGCCGCTTTTTAGATGAGGCGCACAAACTACAACCGTTTTTCTCTCCGTCGGCCCTTCGTGGGTGGGTAGCAGCCCTCAGCCCGGCAACCGAAGCAGGTGAAGGCTTTTCAACAGCTATGGGCCGGCAAGCTTGTTGCTTCTCCGTTGTAACCCTTCACCGTACATGCTGCCTCATTTCCATTGGGGAGTTGCTGATCACTTTGGGAGAACAGTGCTTGCTCATTGGGGAACTTGGCGTTAGCTCCCTGTTGGGGTCTGCAGCCTCACTGTACTTACCCAGCCCTCAGGTTTTGAAAGAGTGCAATCCTAACATATATGCGAGACAGATAGCCATGCTGGCGACCTCCCGTTTCCGACAAGGCGATGTTGATGGCTCGCTGCAACTGCTTGACACAGTTACAAATTGGCCAAATGCTCCTCAACTTGAGCTCCCAGTCGGCCTTGACGTTGCTGAAGCTCTGTGGGTAAGTGGCGTGTGGCCCACAGGTGGATTGTGCAAAGCTTCAAAGTGCATGATGAACGAACAGTCAACGTCCTGGCCACCAGCTCTAGATAAGCTGCATTCTGTGCCAACGTCTCTGATGATCTTCCCTGTTGTTGATGCTTTTCGCTATGCGAAACCGAGGTCCTTGCTTTTGCGCAGAAAATACATGCTGCCAAAGGAACTGTGTCAAAGGCTATTCCTGTACTGAAGCAGATTGAAGCAACCCTAATCGAGCTCGCTTCCGCGGCAGCTACTGGCACTAATTTTGAGAAAGGCGCAACCATCGCATTGCGTGCTTCCTCTGCACACACTGGATCTCAACAAACTCCCAATTCTACTGTAAATAGGATAGAAAGGACCGGGAAAACCATTACCACTCAAAGTCGAGGTCACCATTCTCGATTTGGCAGAGGAGCTGCTACAGCGGAGGTACCTCAATGGCCATTAAGTCTCACAGTGTGGAAGCACCGTCTTAAAGGGTTAGAAGCGGACCATTTCTTTTCGCACTATTGCCTTGGTTGGACTGCAGAAGGAGGCAGCCTGCACATCCATTGGAAGCAGACGTTCCTCGAGGCTATGAATTTGTTGTCCAGTTTGCTCGATCGAACTGAAGAAGTCGGTGTTCCACTGAAGCCTCTTAGAGTTTGTGCCTCCAGCTGTCTGCGGGGAGCTCGTTTCCTGATGGCAGCGATAAGGTTTCTTTGGACAGATGAAGGGAACTTTGCAGCGTATCACTGGGAAAGGCGCGAAAGCCCCCTTACTGCCCTTCCTAAGACCAGAGGCTCTCCACTTGTTACTCCAGCTGACCTACAGGAATGCTGTGAGGCGCTTCACCGAGTTCTCTCTGTAAGATACGCTCGCTTCAGAAAACTTAAACTCATTCGCCTGGCAGCTTGCTGTGGTGCTCCGATATTCTCATGTATGCTATAATTCAGCATGTCCAGCCTTACGCGCTGTTGCTTACCGCTGGTGCTCTTCGCAGGGGCTCGACCTGGAAGCAAAAGCAGTCCTAGACTTCGTTGCTCACGGCAAAAAAGACCTCGCTCATCAATCTGCCGTAGCATGGGCTGATATGATTGCCGTAGCTAGTGCCCAGTTGGTTAGCTTTCGCCATCAACTTCAGCTGGTTACGCTTGAATTTTGGAGAGCAGACATACATGAAGTGCTAGGCGACTCTCAACCAGCTTTTGCACGGACTAGTGGAATTGTAACGTCGTCGGAAGTTGCCCACTCCAGCGACGCCGAAGCTTCTGCAGATGAAAAGCGCCGTGTACTCCAACAGTGGCTGTATGAAAGCCAGTGCGAAGACGCACTGTCGTCCTCGCAGATGAAATCTCAACAACAGTGTCTTGAAAACGCTGTTCAGGAACTTGAAGCCATGCGAACCGTTGGCCTCTGCCGTCGGCAAGCTGACAAGAAATATAACTGCGGCGAAATATGGGGCAAGTCCCTGCTTGACGTCCAGTGGGCATGCCAGTGTGCCATGTTGAGGCATCAACTGTCACTTCTACAAGCACGCCAAAGAATAATTGCACAGGGAAGAGAACTGCAAGGCGTAAGACTGCTGATTCCAATGCACACCTTCATCCTTTCCACATGTTTCAACGGGTCCAGTATCGTGTAGGTTCACCAGCCACATTCATCCCAGGCTTTCCGGTTCGCTGACTTGTATGCAGCTGTGCCCCTGGATACACGATGCGACAGAGCACCCGGAGAACCGAGAGCTGTGGATCGAAGATATCCGAAGCGCTGTTGCTCTAGTATGCCCACACAACAGGAGCCGTTGTCGTAGACGTACCACCTACAGGTGCTGGATGAAAAACCGCTGCAACGAATTAGAGTATTGCTTGCATAAATCCCGTCAATGAACATATTAACGCGTACCCAATTGGCCTGCAGCATCCTCTATTTTTTCGCAGGCGGATAAGACCCCAAAAGGGCAACAGAGATCGTTGAACTACCTTTCTGGTGCATTAACAAGGGACTCTCAAGAAGGCCGCCATCATTGTATTGCAGCTCCTGAGCTAGAACAAACCTTCCTGTCCTGTATTGTCAGTGGCCATCTCACTGAGGCCACTTTCCTGGGAGAGGAACTAATAAACAACGTGTTCGGAAATGGGAATTCAGAACAGCTGGACCGAGGGTTCGCTGCCATCGCCACTTTGCAGGCAGCCCAAGTTGCTCAGGCCTCAAAGCTGCTGCAGCTGCAGTTTACGGATCCTCAAATGGCCGAAAGCGTTATGACACAAGAGCTGAGAATACTGGAGGACTACTGGAGAGAAGCAGGAGCCGTGCCCCAAACGCAAGTTATCAGAAGGTGGATCTGCAACACAACGTGTGTCCCCCTAAGTTTCCAGCAAGTGTGTTTCAGGTACTGCTATGTCTAGGAGCTCGTGAGTTTGGAACACTGCATTAGAGAGAGCAGCCAAATGGCCACGAAGCTTGGCATGTCTGTGGAGCTTTGCTTGCTGACTCGCCCCCTTGATTGTGCTGCAGGGTGCTCGATTCCCGCATCGGTTTCGTCCACATGACAACCCTTGCCGAATTGACGCCATCAACTATTCTAAATTCTTGGCTACCGCGCAACTGTTGCGTTGTTTGCCTTCACTGCGCAAGGGGATTTGTCTTTTTTGCGGCGGCTTGTCCGTCGATTCAGTCAGATGGGTCTCTGACAACGTGGCGCTACTTTTTGAAGCGGCGTGCACTTCCAGAATGCTTACTACTCAAAAATTGGAGTGTGTCTGCAACCGAGGAACCGTTAGAAAACGCAGCTACCCCCAACACTTCGTTTCCATCATATTGCACTTACCCTCGCCAGGTACACGCTATCCTCGGAGATCTTTTTGACGCCCTCGCTGCACAGATGCTATACTGGTCTTTGACGTCAATGCTTAACCAGGGACAACCAGCTACCCTTGGCGAGTCAAAGAGCCACCTCTTATTACTGCCTGACATTCGCTTGTCTCACTTCCCTTTTGAGCGATTGCCGACCTTGAAGCGGCTCTTTGGACACCGTATAAGTAGGGACTTCAGCTTGCATATGTTCGCACGCCGGATGCAGCACCATGAATCAGCATTTGCTTCTTCACATCCCCGGAAAACAGTACCGGAAATGCACACTGGATTTGGCCGAGAGTCAATGATATTGCTGCCGGAGTCGACAATGTATCCAAACCTCCAAAACAGGGTGGAAGGCGAGCTCCAGCCAGGGACAGAAGAAGCTCAGATGGATCTGCTCCCCGTTGAAGACGAAAATCCACCAGCTACGGATTTTGAAAGCCCCAGCGCTCTACCACCAAAGACCGTTATATCACCGCTTGTTGCACCTCCTAGCTGTCCCAACCGTGATTGGCGTCGTGCTGTTGTTGCAGAGTTAGCGGCAATCAAAAAGTCTGCAACTGGGGATGCATGCCCTGGACTTCCCCCATGCACTAGCTTTGTTCCCGAGCTTCTCTGCTCCAAATCACCTCAGGTTGCCTGGATTCCGTCTCTGGACCGCATGGTGCAGAGATGTCAAGACCTTAATTATGTGTTTGCTGGGATGAATTTGGGACATATTTCTCTGCTTGGCCTGGTCCCCATGGGACGGGAACAGCCACAACTCGAACATGGTACAGACGTTTGCCGCTTCCCAGAATTTACCCATTATTGCCAAGAACAGAGAGTTCTGGGGCTTTCAAAGGGAGCCGAAACTATTCTCATGCTCAGCATAAGAGGTGAGAGAAGCTCTCCTCTCATACGCTCAAAATCCAAGTAACTTGCCAATATATACAGTTTCAACTGCAATACGCATGCCAATGAATGTACATTTTGGGCTGGCGTTAGTAGTTGCAGATGCCTGCTTGCGTTTTGTCATTTTGTTAGGAGTAGGGACGGTTGTTGCCGTTGACGCAATTCTAACTGATGAGCAGGAGGCGGACCTAACAAAGCGATTTTTAGCCGAGGTTGCAGGTTCTCAGGTGCAAATTTGCTCTGCTCTGTGAGTCGAACACCATGCATATACCACACTAGGCATCAATATCTTCTCACGTGGAGACCTGGTGGTCAGCGCAAGATGTAGAAATCAAACGTAACTCTCGGCTCGCTGTAGGTTTGTTAGAACAGGTATTTATACCAGTTTCTCAACAAAGGGAGTCCTAGTAGTTGACAAGCCTATCTGCCTACGCTGCGCAGGGAGTCACTTTCCGGGTCATCCGTGGAAGGGGGAAGAGCGCGCTTATCCACAAAACGCCACCCACAACACAAAATAGAACCATCAGAAAATGAACGCTTTAGTTCTGAACTTCCTGAATACAGGTTCGGAACAGAAAATTCAGAAAAGGAAGGTTTGGCGGGAGGCATCCGAATCTATGGGCTTCCGTGGATCGGTCGCTTAGCATCCCAAAAGAATGCCGTAAAGGCGGAACTCCAGAAGGCTCCCTCGCAGCGCGGTCGGAAATAATGCTTTCGGCAGGGTTATGCCTAGTGCTTACACTGCAAGCTCCGTTGATTGTAGAGTCAGATACGTAACGTAGAAGTTATCCCTTTCATTCAGGCGAGTTTCTACCATACTGTGAATTTGGCAAGGCCCTCATATGTCATTCTCAGCACAATGTCATCTGGCACGTTCGCTGAAAAAATGTTCACTAGCTGCTCCTGCGGTAAGGGTTCTCCCTTACATAGTACTGATGAAAACTCTGCGGCATACTTTGCTGCACTTCTCTTCCATCTGACTTCATATAATCGTGAGACTATTTCGTCTCATGGGACCCAGCGGAATCTAGTTAGCATAGAGCGTTTGACAGTTTCCCAGTTGCTGACGATTTCCCGGGTACCCCACAGGTAGAACCAGTAATTTAGTGTTTCTCTGGCTAAATATGTGCACAGTCCCTGTACCTAGGTGGGTATTCCGGTCTCGAAAAACACCAACACTATATGACGAAGGAAGCACAACATATTCCTACCATCCTCATGTGGAATATTGACGCTAACGGTCCTAAGCTAGTGCCTCGGAGGTTTGACACCCCCAGGTGATCACCTAATGAGGTCCGTATTGGAATTGTCGCGCCGGCGTTGGACCCCATTGTCCTTCCCACACGGTTTGCCCGCGCATATTGGCACTCACGATCTGTCTTCTGTTGCCTGGCTTCTTAATTGTGCTGCGACTGATTCTTATTATACATTCCACTATGAAGACGAGGTTACTGGGTTGGAACAGCCCCCAAATGTAGTGCGTAGCCGTTCCAAGCTGTGCCTACTTATCATCTGGTCCTGCTAGGCCACCTGAGAAATACCTCTGACTAATCAAATTCTCCAAAGTCCATGTTGCGCATTCCAATTCATGTTAGATTAACATTTGTTAACAAAGGGTTGAACTCATAGAATAAGAGAACTGTGTTCTGAATTGACTACGGTCATGGCTGGGTGTCAGCGCCCAACCTACAGGGAAGAAGGGGGATATCAACGGTAATGGCACGGTCAGGAGCCTGACCTATAACTTCCATAAACCACAGTCGTATTTATAGACATAGTACTCCTATACAGTAATAATTCTATTTCTTTTTCAACCAAATCTATAAAGGGGCCTACCTAGTGCCCAAGTAGTGACTAGGTATTGCGCTACACTGCCGGTAGTGGCAGCTGGCGGAGTAACCCTACTAACCTATGACTCCACTTACAGTGCTCGATTGTTAGAACATTTAGAAGCATTAATTCCATTTCTTAGTTCTTAATGTCATAATCATTCTCTTTATGGCCAATGAGCTACTAGAGATCACACCAGAGCCACATTGTTAGTGCCTGTTCACTAAAGCACCCCTCAAGCCCGCCATAGACCTGCAGCTGAAATCAGGTTGTCCGCTTCCACCAAAGCGGCCACTTTACTTTTGGGTTGGTTACTGAGGTATTTTTAAATTCATATTCACTTTGCATTCGGGAATGCGATAGGAAAATATGGACTCCTCTACCTTGTAGACCCGTCAGTGGGCCCCCCTGCCGGGGATCCCCAAGCAAGCAGAGTTGTTTGAATTCCCGAATTTACTACTGACTAGGGCTTCTTCATATCTCGTATAGATGGCACTGGCTTTTGGCACACGGAACAAGGGGGCCAGGCCTAGTTCGAAATGTGGGGGTTCGTCAGTTCCTGGACTTCTGGGGGGCTTCAGCAGCAGCAACAGGGACGAGTAAAACAGCTGTTGCTTTTGCTCCTCGTGGCTGTCATGGACGGCTGTGTAGCCGTCTCTGTTTCTACTCCTTTCATTCGCTCCACTTCGGCCCGTACTTCTCCTGCGGTTACCTCATTTGTCGAAGGTGCTTCGCCTTGGCAGGTGTTGAAAACCGCTTTTCTCGTGCCCGCCAGCAGGACAAGGAGCGCGAGCAGCATTAACGTCTTCTCCAGGTCCCCGCAAGCTATGCATGTTAGCTGCTTGAAAATGGATAAGCAGACAACTCTTCGGAATGGGCGGCCCGAAGTTATCACTAACTCTTACTGTAGTCCGTGGTTGTGTACTGTATCATGCACGCACCAATCCAGGTTTAAAAAGCCACTAATATGTGGAGGCCCCCTGACTGTAGTTATGAGAGCGCATGTGCGTCGGTCTCACAGCAGATTGGGGAGGCCTCGGTCCCACAGAAAGGCCCTTCTACGGAATCTCGCTACCCAGGCAAGCCCTTCTCGTCCTTAGCTCACAAATCTAATTCATTTTTCGTGTGTGTCGCGTTGTGCTTGTGAAGAAATGGCTTCTACGCCTTGTGCGCGGTGGCTCAGCAGCCTTACATTTCGTGTTCCGCCGATGCGTACATGTACATAGTACAGATTATTCGGCGTGCTCAAGACCCCTCTTTTTTGCTTGCAGCTAATAAGACATGGCAGCATCATAACGACGGCAGCCAAGGGCAAGGAGTTGCGTCGCGTAATCGACTCTAAAATTATCTTAGCAAAGAAGGGAGGTCTTCACAATTACCGCCAGGCCCTTGGCTTTTTTTACGACAAGAAACTTACAAGGAAATTGTTTCAGGAGGTAAGAAGCAGTTTCATGATAGCTGTTCCGTTGACTGTCACGCCGTCTATGGAGGCGTGAAGGTTTGCTACGTGCGCTGTGCTTTGTGCGTAGGCCCCGACACGATTCGCCCGAAGGAACAATGGATTTTCTCGATGTACGCGATTGCCGTTTCCCCGCTTAGGGGATGCAGCCAAAATATGCAGAGTTGAACTTCTTGACTAGGCACAACTTATGCATTAGCCAGATGCTTGCACATCTTTTATGGGGCCTTCTGGATATAAAATGCCAACGCAGTGAAATGGTGGATGCTGCTGCCATACTCCAAAGAGTTTCCTCTATTCAACCAGCTGGCTTGCTGTGGGGTTTCCTTGACGTCAGTGTTTTCACGTTGGTTTCCAGCACCAGCGTTGCCTGCTGGTGCTCTTGAAGTATTCTTGGGGACTGTTTTCTCTAACTGGCTGGTCAAGTTTTTTAGTGTGTAGTGCAGAGCGTTGAGACAAGCGGGGGCAAACACGCCACTGGGGCCGTTCCAGGCTGTGTGCGGTACGATGACATCCATTGTTGTTGGCACCCACAGGCACGCATGCATGAGAAGTTTCCCCAAAGGTGTGATCAAAGGCATTGGGATGGGGGAGTGTGTTTTAAGGCAGTGAAAATGAGCCACCAGGGTATGGGGCTGCACGCCACACCCCTGGCGACCTCCCCGCCAGTTTGGTTTCACGGCAACCGGTGGAGGCATTGTAAATATTGTGGTACTTTTTTATTGACCCTTGTTAATATTTAATTCTGAATCATGTTGCTTACGTTGTAACTGCAAATACGCCGTTTCTTGCTTTTGAAGCACATGCGCTCACCGTCGGTGGAACTCAGTGGGTTGCGAGCCGACGGATTTGCATGTTTCGTCCGAGGATCCAAGATTGCCACAATTTTAGTTAAATGAGTTTTAAGACTGGCGGCGAATTCCTCGTCGCTTAGACTTTTCTCAAGTTGCATCGACAGGGTGCTCCGGCGGGGGGCCACTGACTGGTTCTCGGCGGTCTTCAGTCAACGCCGACCGGCGGGTGAGAGCTTGGATACACTACCAAAGACGGAATCGTCAAATTCTTTGTACGATCGGATCGCCATTTTACTTTACCGGCTAGACATTTTTTGACTCCTTTCCGGGTATCACCGCGTTGAATCCCCCATGTATGGTTTCCCATGGTCTACCTGCCGAACCCATGGTTGCTGCCGCAGGTTTGACACCACAAGATAAGGCCCATATTTATTGAAACGAACTTTGACGGATTTATCGATAGAGAGCACGCTTGCGGGTGAGACGAGAGGGTGCAAATGGCGATGTTGCCAGACCTGAAGTCGGACCGGCTGCGAATGCAGCTCAGTACTGTGGACGAAAGATTCGCGGGCTTCAAGAACTCTATTGCAGATGACTCGCGCAAGAGGAAGCAGGTAGATGAGCAGAGATATCAGGTAAATCTTTCCCCACAAGGGTTTCATTGGTTTGCTGGTACTGTGCTTTCACATGCTATTCCTCACAGAGCTAATTACACGTGTTTGCGTCATTTGTCTCGGAAGGAAATAAAAGAGTCGATATTAGCTGTAGAGAAGACGCTCAATCAGGAGATAAAGAGGAGAGTCGATGCTAACAAGGCACTCCAACAGATATCGGAACAGATGGCTAATGAAATGCTTGACAGGCTACAGCTGCGGATAGTAAAGTACATAGAGAGCCTCACGGTAAGCCCCCTATATGATTGAAGGTGCTTCATCGTACTGAATCTACACTTGCTGCATTGTCAGCTTATATTCCCTGGTTTGTGACACAGAAGCCTGGTGCACTCCTGGCACACGCTGATGCCAGCCAGTGGTTCTTCACATTCCGTGGATGCCTGCCTAGCTTGTTTACAGATCTTGCACCACAAATGCTGATGCCTACGTACTCAGGTGTCAATGGATATGCTGATAACACGCTGCGAAGGCCTGGAAAAGGGGCTCGCCCAAATGAAAGGAGACTTACCCAGCAAGCTTGAGGTGGGGCGGTGCACCTTGTCTAGGTATTACTTCTTGACATGCATGATTCAGTGAATTCCACTTCTTAGCTTCAACTCGAAGATCCTGTGGCTCGATTTTTCTTGTGCTTCTGTTGGCTGCAGCAAGATTTCGCAGCCCTCCAACGTGAAGCAGCCGCCCTTCGTCAGGCATTTGCAGCCGAAACAAAGAACAAGAATGAACGTGAAAGTCTTGCATGCAAGAAGCTGGGGGAATTTCAACTTCTTGTAGACTCGAAGTTTGAGGCTGAGATCGCAGTCAGGCAGGAACAGCTGAATCTCATCAAAAGAGAAGTTGAGAGGCTTGTCAAGTATGTGAATACGTTGTGGCGTGGAAAGGCAATAATTCTAGTTGAGAGGGCCTTCAAGCTCTCTTTTAGGATTAAACATGGATGGAGCTCCCTTTTACATACTTTTCACTTTTCAGATTTCGTAGGAAACCACGCAGTTCATGCATCAGTGCACTGACAAATACGAGGGTCCAAATTTTGCGTGATGGTAGGGCTTGCTGCGGAGCCTGAAGGGAACGACGAGCTTTGCAATTACTCGTTGCTTCTGCTGTGGCGTGTGGCATCACGTGGCTGCAATCAGGGGAGACGACGCTCATGAGCAATTTCATGCCTTCATTATGGAGGAGCTGATGGCTCTAAAGAATGGATTGGCTTTAGCCACGCAAGCGCGAGAACAATCAGACGACGAGATTATACAGGTGTGATATTCACATAAATCTACGTAGCGGAGATCCCCGTTCTGTGTGTAGTGCCGCGTATGTGGTGTTACACTGACGCACATAGCATTTACTGAATGTGCAGAGAGAAATGAATTAAGAATTAATGGGAGTTAGTTATCAGGGAACTTCGGAAGTAGTGATTCTGGTAGGGTGACAGTATTGTGCCTGGATCGCTCTTTGTGGGGAGGAAGTGTTTGCTGCTTCGAAGCCACGAAATGTGGTTTTTCCTGTGTGATTCAGGCGATCAACCAGTACACAACAGCCCTTCAGAAGGGACTGCGGACAATCAACACACTGTAGATATGGAAGCGGCGCCCCATCCTCTCCATTTAACTCACTCTCACATTTGAGAGTGGTTGGCGAGTGTAGGTTCAACTGGACTTTCGCGAGTTTGTGGCAGACAGAGGGTGCCCTTGGGGTAGGAGGAGCCTGACTGTCCTGTCACATTGTAATGCTACATAACTGTGAAGCTTTTTCAGTTGATTTTTTTCGATGGATTTTGGTATTTGCGCATTGCCGCGTAAGAATTGGCAAAGGGGCACATATTCTTCCCTTCAATTGATATTTTAGCTCGATTTATCCTCATGGATTGTAAGCACTGTACGTACGAATGCTTGCATTCGTATGCGCACTCGTTTTAGAAAACGGGCTACGAATGCTTGCATTCGGATGTACAGTGCTTACAATCCATGAGGATAAAATCGAGCAATTTACTTGCTGTATCCACAGTAATTTCGATAGGATGCGGTGCATCAGTATGGCAGGCGCACCCGGTCTGTGCGTTGTGGACGCGGGTCAAAGTGTTTTTGCTAGGTTGGCGACTGGCGAAACCAACGAGCCGACTGTATTCGATGATCCGCCTTCATTCCGTGAATGTCCGAACCTGTTTTGGACGTCAAGCTCTATGCAAATAATAAATGGGAATTTTGGCTCGATGTGTTCTTTTACACCCATAGCGGAGTGGCTGGTGAAATTGTTTTGGCTCTTGAGCTGTGTCGTCATGTACTGCGTTCCGTGAGTTGTCGGCAGCAGGGTGGTGTGCTCTCGCAACGCGTAGAGCAGAACACTCGGAAGATACCTCAATTTAAAACATTTTATGGTTTGTGGCTGCTGGGGAAGCAGAATGGAGGAAGAAGAGAACAAGTGGAGGATGGCATATTTGCCAGCAGTGGTCAGCGGTGCCTCAAACAAAGATCAGAGTGGAACTAGCGTTTATATTTGTGCGCTACTCAAACATTCCTGTACATTCAGAGCAGAACATGAGTAGTAGTGCTTTCGAACAGGAATTTCTATCCATAAGTTGATATTTCAAGTGAAAACCACAAGCACCGAAGCAATGCTGGACTCAGGGTTCTGCCTGGCAACGACGGCTGTGCGGCTCGCAACGCTGCTATGTGCAGAGTAACCATCGACATTCCCCCAATCATTATTCATCATTCAGTGTGATATTTTCCGATTAAGAACTACAAGCAATAACACTCCACAGTCTTATTGTCTGCCTCGTGTTTGTATCTGCGTCGTCTTCATCTCAAATATCAACCAGCGAATACACTGTCGAGGGCAGCCGACCGAAGGGAACGAAGTAACTCTTAACTCCACAGGATGGCCACAACCACTTACCCTTCGCCTTATCCGGCGTATACGGAGACATATCTAACCCCGGAAGGGTACATTCAAGGTGAGTTTCTTTTGGCGAGTTGCTTCTTTCGCTGTACTGATGCAATGCCAGGGCAGCCGTCAGACTCTCGGTTGCCCACATCCCATTGCTCCATTCTTGTTAAATTTCAATTGCAAATGATATATAGTCATAGGGTTTCACTGTAGAGCACAAAATTGAAATCGATTGTCAATGATACCGGCGCAACAATGCCGCTTGGCGGTGAGTCCTTCGTGGCGCTGGAGAACCGCCACACTATCTCTTACATATGCTCTATTCTGTGTAAGGGATATGTAAGCTCCTTTATCCTTCTCCTTTTTCTGCTCAGGGAATGGCAGCATGAACAACATGGCATACTACGCTGGAGGCCCAGACCCGATGCAGCCCTGCGCACCTTCCGTTGCACAGCAGATCCATCATAGCGATGATATTGAAGTTCACCGATTCGACCCCATGCCAGCTTACAATTACGTTCCCACAACATCTCCCCCCTTGTACGAGCCCGCCGCTGGAAGCCTGGGCATCAGTCACCAAGATCCAAAGATGCAGACGTTTTGCCATGCATTCGGCAATAACTTCTCCTTTTATAACACAGCAGCGAACAGTGGGATGCCTCAAGGCTATCACATCGCCATGCAGGGATTCCCTGAGGCAGCAGCAGCCCGCGTAGCCATAAAAAAAGAAATACCAACACCACCATCCATGGTGCAACAGGTACAACAAGACGTCCAGCAAGCCAAGAAGAACAAAAGAAGATCAATCGCCTGCTGCTGACACGAAAACTTCATGCACTCTTCTAGTATTCCTCCTCATTTGTTAGCGTTTCGACTGCCAAGTAAGAGACGCTGAAGGAGAAATCAGCTTTTTTGCCGGTGCTTTTATTGCCCTTTAGTGTACAGATGTTTCGGGTACTTTTTTTCAAAGTGCAACAAACCTTGTCAGGCGTCTCATGGAAGCCATTACGCATAGTGGAGTGGCTAAGGCAACTTGTTTCCCCTCCAAATAATCTTGGAATTCCTACGAACTTTGTGCCCATGAGGCAAAGCTAGGTGTAATGGTGATGTAGCTCGGAAAGATATCCCTTTATGGAGTTATTACGTTCGTGAACACCATAGTGGCTACAACTGACCCTAGTGGAAAGCAGCCATGCATTGCAAAAGCCGCGATTAAACGGGTTTCTGCTGCTGGGATCTGTGCTCGCGCTCGCGCTCTTTTACTCCCGCTGTTGTTGCTTGTGTAGTGTCTGTAGTTCCTACTACTGATGTGGCCGCCCTCAACCTTGTGTCCGGAAAGGCCCACAGCAAGTAGCAGAATGGAAAACATGGTAAATTCTTTTTTCTTAGCTTTGGCGTGTTGATCTGTCGTTGCCAGAGTGACTTGCAAAACACCCTACATCCCACAGCTGCACAGTGCCGCACTGCCTACGGAAGAGCTGGCGCGTGGCACCTTCATGCATGAGCATTGTAAAGGGGGTTGCGTTTCCGAAGCGCGCGGAGACAGGCACACCAGACAAAGACCTATTCGCAAGTTTTCGTCTCTAAATCGAGCGAGTACAGTTAGAATGGCAGGTGCGCATCTTCGCCGCACGCGACTCGCACTTCCTCACGAACGTAACGCTGCTTCAAAATTAGTGACCTCTCCTTCGGTGCCGCAGCAGAAAGCTGTGCGGTGGTCCATTTTTTCGAGGGCCTGAGGTCATTCAAATCACTCAACACAATCAGCTCTTGCTACTCAGTCGGAGCAAAAATGCATGTATTCGCAGGCTAGCGCACTACGGTGCGGATGGGCTTTCAGGATAAAACCAAAGAAAACCATCAACTGGCTAGTACGCAGGCATAACTGGAGCCGAGCTGCCTCACTACATCGAGAGCAGAGCACTTTCCATTGCTTGAACGCCCCCCTGCCGCTTCTACTAGATAAGCAATCGGGGCCACTTCATACGCAAGGCGGAGCTTCGCTGGTGCCCCGCTGCTCGCGGGGTTGCAGAAGACCCCGTGACCCTTTACAAACAATTGATAGACGTCGGGACCAAGCCCCCCTAGGAGGAAATCAGATGAACAGAAGAGACATGAACTCAAATTCAAAATGCTATCGGCACGCGATAAAATGTCGTACTGGATCGGGATCCCTGTTGCTGGCTGTTTTTGCCACATGCTTCGGTGTTCAATGAAGAGCGACAAGAAAAATTCAACAGCAGATGCGCACCTGTGTATCTGAGTGTGTATCTCTTCTCCATCCACTGCTGCACCATTTTGTTGTATGCCGGAAGATCCTGGGCAGCTCTGAGGTTTGCAGGGGAAAAGATCTTGGCTCCTTCCTTCCGGATGCTGCAAGGGCCCCTCAGGACCACAGGATCCCCATCGTCTGCATCCAGCTGAAGGTCAAACGTTGAGCCATCAACAGCAAGAAGGGCTGTCGTCCGTGGTCCATAGATAACCAGAAGCGCCGCGACCAGCTGACGGCCTGAAAAAGCAAAAAGTCCAGCCTGCGACTGGTCCATCCATCACCGCACTTACCATACTATGACAGGCACAAAAACTAGGGGGTTTTAGAACAGATTTTAAGAAACATGTGTGTTTTAAACACTATCTGTGTTTTTCATTATCCGTGAGAGGGTAGTGTGGACAGCGAATGGCGGAGACATTTACTCACCTGTGGCGCCGATAAGTGTGTTTGGCCCATTCCACTGTAACCCTTTTTCCCCAATCTGCCAAATTCCAAAGATCGATGCGACGCTCCAGTTGCAGTCAATAATGCTGCTCCCATCCAGCGGGTCCCAGCAGACCACAAGGGAACCCCCGGGATTAACTTCCTGAGGAGCAAGCGAACAAGGAAGGGTTCTGACCAAACAGTAAAGTAGATGAGAGCCGATGATGTAAGGCGCGTAATCGTCCCCAATGAGTAGAACAGGATGAGCCAGCCTTTCCACAAAGTTATGACGATAATCACGCCCTACGGGAAGGGTACAGTGCGTAGACAATCGACGAGGGGGCTTAGGAAGCCACTGTTACCTCCAGATTTGTTTCTTCCTCACTACTGATGGCCTTTACCGATGGGCACGCCTTTGCCCAGTTCCTCAGGTGACGCTCAGCCAGGAGATCCACGGAGAGCTGTTCGTCCCCGAAACTGTTGCTGGTGCCTGACTTTGTGACTTTCGTGTTGCGGAGGGCTTTGCTTATGCGGCCTTTGACGTTCAGAAACATACAAATTATTTGTACAGATGCACATGCAGATACGCACTTCGAATGCCCATGTAACGATCTTAAAGCCAAGCCAGGTACACACACACTGGGTCCCCCCAGGACCCGACCAAGTGCATATGGCTGTGATGAGGCACATAGGGCGCTCTTCCCCAATGCCTACAGGCGCACATTCCCAGAGAGGGGGAACAAAGTCCTAAACCTACCGCATTCTTTGAAGAGCGTCGGGAGGGCGGACCTTAAGTCGGCACTAGTGGACAACTTGTCCAGGAGTTGCTCAAGCGTCAAACCAGAAAAATCAGCCGTTCTGCTCGCCATTTTCTGCTTTGATTCTGCAAAAATGTAATGTGGAACAAGTTTTCGGCAGCGAACAGTCTCTTGCTTGAGCAGCACTGGACGTCTAGCAGAGCAGTCTTTGGGCTGAACTTTCCTTGTTTACAGAGCAGCTGTAGTTAGTGAAGTTGTATAAACACATAAAAGGTCATTTCAGCTATTACTGAGAGCGTTTCAGCACCAACACGGAAGCCCTTCCTCCGAACCGACGCCAGAGGTTGCGACGTACCAGCTGCTCGGCCGTTTCCGTTGAAAACAGTATTAACACTAAAGAAGGAAAAAGGCTGTATACAGTTGGCAAGGAAGTAAATAGTTGATTTTGTGTTGTTGCTGTTTGGCTTGTTCGTGGGCTGTTTCTACTGCGTCTTTAGAAATCCAGGGGGCCCCAGGTTTACGTGCCGCTGGGGCTCATTTCTTGCTGAAAACAAAATTAGGAGCGGTATTAGGACTCTCCGGCAAAACTAAGATGAATTTACCTTCCGCTGCCCGGTGTGAGGGCAAAAATGCCCTTGCTGCAGACTTAGGAGTGAGGCTGAACGAGTTGTTGGGCAGAACTGTGAGCACCGACAGACCCTGGCTTGCGTGGCCGACCACTTGGAAAGGTTTGCAGGAATCTGACGACCACCTTCTGCTGAGGGAATACTTGACGAGCCCCCTGATCCACAAGGAAAAGGTTGAAGAGGTATGTTCATCGTAGTCAAGGAAGTTCTTAGATAAGCTTGCTTCGGTTGCTTCCCCTCATTGGGGAGAGAAAAAGAATAAAGCAAAGAAATAAATATATTGTGTTCTGCACCCTACAGAACTCCGGATTCTTTCACCGCTGAATTCTTTCTGGGGTCTCCTTACCCGCATTTTTCAACTATCATGTTCAAAAGGCCGGGAAAACCTATTCCGATCAACGCTGAAGCGTATTCACCTGCCATACATGCCCTTGCTACCTTCAACGGCCTACTCAATTCTTGCGTTCAGGTTAGACGGCAGTTCATTAAGGCGGCCAGGGCCAAGGATATTGTGAAGGAGGGAGTTGCCATTTTCCTGGAGGGCGGAACAAGCGATGAGTGGATGCTGTATTCTTGTCAGTTTTCCCCAGTATAACTCTTTATGTAGTATACCCTTTACTCTTCTGCGATTCGGGTTTGGTCCTACATATGGCATTAGCTTCCAAACTGCTAATGCTGCCCTTGTTTGCATTGTTTCGCGTGTATAGTCACACAGACTACGGATGCCAGCTACTCTTCCCTGCGTGTGCAGGTCTTGCTGACAAAAGCAAAAGACTTGCTGTTGTACTCGTAACGAACTATAGTAGTGTGTTGTTCCTTCTCAGCTGACTGCAACAAGGCGGCCTTTAGACAGGAGTCCTTTTTCCAGTACTTGATTGGAATAAATGAACCGGACCTTCATGCGGCATATATTTTGGCGTCTGAAGAGATTCTATTGTTTACCCCAAAGGTCCCCAATGACGCTCTAAGGTGACTTTTCGTACGTTCAAGCTTGAGTTCAAATATGAAAAGGCGGTACGGTACGGATATGGCTAAAATACTCGGATGCCTGTATTGCTTATCTTTTCATTGCTTGTCAGGTTCGTGGGCCCTCCGAAGGACCCCGCCTTTTACAGCAGTCGATATGCAGTGACAGACGTTTTTCAGGTGAAGGAGCCAAAAGAAGTAGAAGAAGAGCTACGGGTATGGCAGTACGCTGCGTTTGGCGTACGGCTTCTTACTTCAAGCGGACCATTCCGCATTTGCAGGTAGTGTGTTCCGATTAGGGTGGATAAGCAGCCACAGGGGGAAAATGATGAAGTAAAGGGCAGTAGCCCAGTTGCTGTTTCGATGCAAGCTCAAGGTCTGCGATTCGACGTTTGCAGCGCCGGGGTATACATACACTGCATGTGCTGAAAGGGGTGAACTCGGACAGCGGGAGGCCTGTGAGGCCTCCAAAGGCACTCAGCAGCTTTACATCCTTTTCTGTCGACGATGCGTCCCTTTATGAAATACTTGTGGATTGCAGAGTCCGCAAGGTAAGAGCTGAACGGTTGACAGGCGCTAATCTAATGGAGTGCACTTGCTCAAAGACTCTCTACTGTTCCCCATTTGCATTGCACAATATTTCATGACAATAGTTTGGGGAAGCGAATACTCAGCTGCGGTTGGTCTTGCGCCAGGGGTTTGCGCCCGCGATCGCTGCAGCTTGAAGCTCTGTCTGTACTGTTGAAATGTGGTTTCTCTGACTACATTCTGTGGCTTTATTGCACTATATGCAATGCTGGGGGGCAAGGTCATCTGTTGCCCATGCAGACGCCTGCGGAGGCAGAATTCTTGGCCGCTGCGTGTCTGTGTTCTTCCCAAGCCCACTGCTTTGTTGCGAGACATGTTCGATCTGGAATGGTGGAGGGCCAAGGGGAAGCTCTTTTCAAGGCCTACGTTGGGTTCGTTGGGGGTGCTCGACATGCAGCTTATGATTGTATATGCTGGTGCGTGCACATTCACCAGATTGAACGTATACAAGCAGTACTCGCATGTTTGCACAAAGCCTTCATCCCCATGATTAGGATTTGCTGTATGGGCAGTACGAAAAAGTCTACCGAATGTGGAATTCCCAATACGCCCAGTGCTATCCGTTGTTCTACGTATTCTTGTTCCTACCATGCCTTGACACACCAACGTGATATTAGCTTTTCGCATACGGCAGGAATTCACTCACTTCATGCTGCTTTTGTTGCTTTTATCGAAGTGCTGGAGCCAATGCATCAATCCTGCATTACGGCCACGCGGGCCGCCCAAACGACGCACGGATCGGACCTAGTGATTTGCTGCTCTTTGATATGGTGGGTTAAGGGCCCATCAGGCTCGTAAATGGATAAAAGTGCGTACATGGCTGAACGCCCTCAGGGTAGAACAACGAACAGTATCTTCGTTCCGTCCTTGCCCATTAGTCTACGAGTTTCCCTTGGTGTCTGCCCTCCCAGGGAGGAGACTTCAACGGCTATGCCACAGATATCACATTCACGTACCCCGCAAGCGGCAGCTTCACAGCACCCCAAAGAGCAATATATGAGGCTGTACTGGAAGCACAGCGGGCAGTTATTGAACGCATGCGACCTGGTGCTGAATGGACAGAACTTCATCGATTGGCCGAGCGCACTGTTCTCCAACATTTGAAGGTCAGGAGAGATCGCAAGGGCTAAGGGTGCTTCCTTCCTATCGCCGCACCGTGGGCATGAAAGGATTGTTCGTGCTGCTGCTGTTGCAAGTCCTGCACGTTCCTGCGGCGCTTTGGCATATAATCTCTTCGCCATTAGTGGTGCATGATGTGAAGCGCGTCGCGCTCCTTTAGAAGCTTCAGCAGGTTGTGCGCTGTAGTGCTCCTCTGTCTTCTTGTGCTGCACAAGTGAAACACAGCATGACGTTGAAACCACCGCGCTTTTCGGTATTCCAGGTAACTCCTTTGCTTGCCGTCTTAATAATCCATTCAGGCTCTAGGACTTCTTGTTGGATCTCTGGAGGATTGTGTAGCTGCCAATATCGGATCTATATTCATGCCTCATGGCCTTGGCCATCTTTTAGGAATGGACACTCATGATGTTGGGGGCTTCACGCCTTCTTCACCCCCAAGTAGTATTCCAGGCCTCCGCTACCTCCGCACTACCAGAACCCTTGAGGAGGGAATGTGCATTACCGTTGAACCGGGTATGTCGTTGCACTGCAGGATGCGATTGATACAGCTTAGCTTCTTTTGGTGTGTGCCCCTGTTTGTTCCTGTTGGGGTAGACAGGCACTTTGTTTTTGACTGTATGTTGGAGAGGAAATGCCCACTTCAGTGTAGTTCAGATCATCTTGCTCTTGCTTGGTTGTAAATCAGGATGTTATTTTGTTGACAACTTGTTAAATCAAGCAGCATCAAACCCTTCTCAAGCCCAGTGAGCAGAACCGCCCATAAAAGCACTGGGAAGTAGTGTTTGTCCAGGCTCCTTCTATCTGATGGAACCACACGGCAACTGCTTTATATCGTGCCGTTAAATGCATGCATAACCTGGTATGTGCTTTTCACTGGCATGAATAGTTTGTTGGACTTCGCGGTCATAGACAAGTACAGGCCCGTGGGAGGTGTGCGCCTGGAAGACGATGTCCTGATTACAAAAAGCGGCGTGCGCAACTTAACGGTTCGTTGTGCCTTTAGTATCTATTCACATCCTGTCCTATAATCCCGTATTCTCCCATGCAGCGGTAGACGCAGCATGTTAAAACCCTCGCACGATCGTACTAGCGGTTTTTCTCTGGATTAATTTGCAGAAAAGTGCAATCAGTTTGCTTCTTCAGGTTATACCACGGTCGGTGGATGCAGTTGAAGAGCTTCTCCGTCTAGATGCCAAGCCTCCGGGACAGTGCTCCTGATTCCGAAGACCTGCAGCCCCGACTAGTTTGTGTCCCCTGCTGCTAGTGCTTAGGAATGTGCGCTTTCAGTGCGTGATGCGAGCATGGAAAGCTCGACAGCACGGCTCTTCATGAGCTTCTGGAAGTGCACCAGGGCGATGCAGTGATTTTTGAAATCAAGCGCCAATGTGGCCAGTGGGACTCCATAGCCACTCACTGGCAAGCTTAACTGATTCATGAAAGCTCCTTCCTCTACTACAAGGACGAAATAAATGGGTATTTAGAGTGATTGTCGGAGCACGCCAGTGGAGGCCATCGTTGCTACTGCAACAAAGACCCCTATGCCGCAGTTTTCCCTTAGAGAAAAGCAATACAAAGTTATCTCCCACCGGTTGGGGCGCAGCCCACGAGTCCTCTACAGATTTCTATATTGAACATGCCAGCAATGAAGTGCGCTCATTATGTGATGGACGCGGCTAGCTGAAGTGAAAACGAGAACAACAGTGACTGCCCCTTAGTCCCTTAGAGAAGGCACTTCTTCCGTCTTGTGTGAGCGGCCACCACAGCCGCACATGGAGCCCCAAAATCCTGGATGTTGGTCCTGCACAGACGGGACAAATGACATGAACGGGCGAACAGGTGCACATGCTTGTTGTTAGTGATGCCATAGTCAGATCCCAATATATATATATATATATATATATATAA